TCTTCCTCTGCTTTTGCTTCGTAGTTCGTAGTCTATGATTTTTGTTATTTGCCGTTGGTTTCTCTCTCTCTCTCTATCTTATAGTTTTTCACACACAACAGAATCAAAAAAATGGAATGTGTAAAATTGAATTTATTAGTACTTTTTATTGTTCGTCGTTTTAGGAGCGTTTCTCTCTCATTGTGTGTGTGTGTGTGTGTTTGTGGATAGTAAATTATGCTGTATGCTTATATAAATTTTTGACCAACCATCGTTCTTCGTTCCGTTTTACTATTCATATTTGTTCTTTCCTTACTAATTCATCTTACATCCACTTCTTTTACTTATTTTTCTCAGCTTTTCCGTTGCCTTTTCTAAGAATTGAATTTGTCGGCTAACGGTAAAAGCACACTGTCAAAAAACAAACAAAAAGAACAGGAACAGACGGCGGGGGAAACTCCCGGGGACTGAAATCCCGTCACACGCGCGCTGCTAACACACCGTTATTTTTGCCGCACTAGTGTATGCAAGCGTATGTGCAACCGCAAAAAAAGTACGCTCCGGCAACATGAAACACACATAACATATTGTTGCTGCTACTAGTCTAGTTTAGTTTTTGTTTTTAATGGACCCGCGGCGAGACAGAGCCAAACGAGAAAATATTATTCGACGCGCGCAACACGTTCGCGCAGTTCAAGAGGTGTGAGTGTCAAACCATCGAGGGCACTATCGACAGTATCGATATTTTGCTGTTTGTTTTTGTTTTTTCAAAACATTCAATGTTGATATTCCTAGATTTTGATATTCCGTTTAAAATTACTAGCTAGTTGGCCCTCTCAGCCAAAAAAAAATAATTTTATCCTATAGATACATAAATTTTCTACAAGATTGGCAAGTTTTCAGAACTCCTTTTCATTTAATTCTTTACATAATAGGGTTTAAACTAAAACGGCCAAAGCGACGTTACACGACGTTCGAACTTGAAGTTGAACTTTTGGTTGCGCCGCAAGGATAAGGTATGAGGTGTGACGTATGACGTCACAAAATTCAGAGCTTTCAAGAAAAATACCCACCTCACCACATAACTCACCGTGCGGGATTTTGTGCTTTGGCTCAAACATGGTATATTTATTCCGTCAGGGCTAGGGTGAGGTCCTTACGAGGCCCGTAAAAAAAGTTTGACCGTATTAATACTGGGGCCATACCTTGCCATGACCCAGTCGAAAGAGAGCACTCAAAACGCTCTCCGGACTCATTTCTGCGGTTAAAGTGTGAGCCACTATCGATAGTATCGATATTTTACTGCTAGTCTCTACTATCGACGGTTTTGCGACTATCAAAGGTGCGCATAGTATCGGGCTCAAATAATTATTTAAAAACCATTGAAATCTTTTAGGAACTTGTCCATTGTAAAAATTAGATGCCACCTGTCGATTTGTTTACAAATGTGTCTTCGTATTTTATAGCAGCCAATCCAAACATATCAAAAGCGCAACGACTGTAGCTCGATACTATCACGATAAGATCGATTGTTTTGTTTCAAAACATTCAACGTTGATATTCCTCGATTTTGATATTCCGTTTAATATTACCAGCTAGTTGGCCCTCTCAGCCCTAAACAAATAATTTTATCCGATAGATACATAAATTTTCTACAAGAATGGCAAGTTTTCAGAAGTCCTTTTTATTGGATTTTTTACATATTAAGGTTCAAACAAAAACAACATATAACGTATGTGACGTCGTTTTGTGGCGTTGCCAGACTCGTGCAATTCGTAGTTGCTGCGGGCTGCCATACCACGATATTTTGTGATATAAAATTCGTCAATTTTGATATTCAGTTTAATATTACTAGATAGTTGGCCCTCTCAGCCCTAAAAAAATTATTTTATCCAATTCCTCAATCAATTTTGTTCAGGATTGGCTAGTTTTCGGAACTTTTTTTCATTGGATTGTTTAGATAATAGGGTTCCAACAAAAACGGCCAAAGCATAAAACGTAAATGTTGACTAAATGTGACGTCAGTGTTGCTGGTCACCAAGTTCTTCTATGAGTATGTACTTTTGTATACCTTATTTCTTTTAATTGATGTTAAATGTTTTGTTTCAAGCTCTATTGAAACATTATTTATGATTTTATCCTAGATTGACATGTTTTTTTACCTATTAATGCATATGTTTTGTGTTTTATATATACATTTATCCCGGTTCTGATACCTATAATTTGTACCCGTGAGCTGCAAAATTTCGTTAATATCTTTAAAACAGAGACTGAGTAGTTTCTGCATTAATTGGAGCCTGAAATTACAAACAATATCTCAAGTCCATAATATCTATTTTCCCAAGGTATGCAGATTGTTGCTCATTCCGTGCCAAGGTTGCAGAACAATGCTGCCAATTCATTTCCGTGCTGCTGGAATTTTTTTCCATACAAATCAAATGTATCTTACGAGAACGCGTCGGAACGTCGCAACAATGAATCTACGTTCCAAATAATCAGCACCAACCAATGAAAAAGGTTGAAATTTAGGTACAGTTTCAGTATTTATTGGAAAAATTATTTTCATATCAAGCCAATTAATTGAGGGAAAATGTGAATCGTACATTTATATTTATCTTGGGAGTACGCCAGATTCATTTGGCCATATAAATCCCCGCCAGATCCACGCAATTGGGCCTCCACTTAGCCGACGGCCTATCATCAATAATAAATATGTTCTTTTTGTACCCAAAAAAATACTTTTCGAAATAAAAATCCGTTAAAAAAGTAACGGTTTATCTTACGCGTTTTCAACTTTCAACCAATCAAATCGTTCGAAATTTTCTGTAAACATTTGGGGCAGTTTTCTAGGCAAAGTCCAAAAAAATGTTCGCGCGACCATGAAACAAGAAAAAAGTGCCGAATATTGTTCTTCACAAGTCCGCTGAGTACCAAAAAAATATCCATATATAATTTTTTAAATCATATCATTAATAATAACGATGAAGGAGATTCATTGTTGCTACTGTTCCCGTAAGATACATGTGGCTCACACCACGAAAAGGAGGGGAAAGTCACCACGAAAACGCTCTCTTCACCTCGGAAAAGAGAGAAAATTTTGAAAAACCACCACGAATTGAGAGCGAAAAATGTCAGTATTTTTTGTGCGCTAAATGAGTTGGATAATATTAATAACTCCCTTTTACTGGATTCCTTAAAACTAAGGTATAAACAGAGAAGGTTATCCAAGATTTTCCTTTTTTACATGGTAACTACACGGTAACTACACATTTGCTACATAACAACAAACTTTTTATGGAGTACGAAATGTTGTATACCATAATAGCAACAAAAATATGTAGATCAAAAATCAAATTTTGGAGCAAATATGCTATGGTTGTGCGAGAAAATAAAAATATACATAAAACCCTTAAATAAAATGCTTTAAAATGATTATTATTATTATTATTATCATACGACATTATTGTGACCTCTGGGGCCATTAAGATACTGCTGGAGAAGAACTTCTATGGTTTTCATGGTTAGAAGAAGAACTCCCACAAACTATACAAAGAAATGTCTAAAAATAATAAATAACGAGAAGGAACGTGTGAGTCGGTTCTGGGGAAGCGACTCTACTTATACCCGTACTCAGTCAGTATATACATTTTTGAGCTTATGATTTTTTAGAATTATTGAATTTAAAACAAAAATGTTACATATTGCATTTTTTTGCTACATCTGTTATCTACATCTACTTTGTATATTCTACATCTAAAATGTAGAGCGCTAGAAGACGCTCGCGTTCATAACGAATCAGAGTGTGCGAGAGAAAAAGAGAATGAGTAGCGGGTTTCTTGCAGGAGAAGCCGGGGGGAGGCAACTGAAAATTAATTCTGGCTATAGTTATGATCCGATCTGATTCAGATTCGGCAGTCTGGTAGATATGGTCATTCTCTACGATACTGCGTTACACACATCCACTTTTAGCACAAATACAATATACCCCTTAACTCTTTTTGAGTACGGGTATAAAAATATATCGTCTTGCTAAATTCTGTTGATTTCTCAAAATTTGTTTATTTTCCTTGTCATCAAGCACCGAAATCTGCTGTCACGTCTGCCAATGTGAACGCCTTTTCTGCTTCATTGCGTCTATTCAGATATCGATAGGAATCGGCACCTAGGGTGAAAAAGCTATTAAATTTCAAAAGTGAAATAAAATGAATGACTTATTGATGTATTGACACGAATTTGACACCATTACTAGGGCAATTGAGCTTGTGCCATTTTTTATAAATAATTTGTATTTAAACAATCCTCAAAATTAGATCTGAAGATCAGGGCAAAAACAAAAAAAGTTCAGTTTTGCCCATACAAAATTTTCATAAAAATTTGAAACTTGGAATTTCCCTAAAAAAATAACAATAGAAGAACCACCAGTTAGTTTTTGCACTTCAATTCTTTATAACTCACGGTCTATCAAAGGTTTTTTTTGATTAGTATAGACTCCTGAGTTAAACATATACCCAAATTTTGGCTAACTTGGCCAGGAGCGAATACGTTAACGTATTCAAACGTTAAGCGATTTAAAAAAAAAACTTGGTAGCCTTCGTTTTTGAATGCCTGAACACAACTTTCTAACAAATTTATTCAAATTTTCACTTTCCCCACTCTAATGTACATACATATTGATAGTTTTCCTACATGTTTACATGTTCAATTTCGTTTCGCTAGGTCTTATTTTAAGTAATATCAGATCTGTAGTGTGTATAAAATTTAAAAGTATCTATGCCCAGCATAAGCACTAACGATAACAGCACCTTCAAATGTAATAGAAACCAGCGATAGGTGCGCGCCTAGTGCCAGCGTTGCCATATTACGTATTGCAGCCCTGTGCAACTCATGCCGGCTGTAACGATATTTTGACCAATGGAAAGCTCTCCACCCTGGGATCCACTGGAAGCGAGCGCCAACAAAACTTCCACACGAATACGGTGCATGCGTGGTGGTGTGTGTGAGTGTGCGTGTGTGTGTACAGCGCGCAGGCCAGAGCCGAAAGTGTCGTGGAAGGTGCGCTTCCAACCAGAATTTGGAAGTTTTTTTCCATATTGATTAGTTATGTCGCTTTTGTTGTTTACTCGCCACATTTTTTTAGCCAGTTAATTGTGCTTTCGCAAAACGCGGCCGCAAATCGGCATAAAAATTTGCAAAATCCAAAAACGAAGAAACGAAATAAATCTCAGCAGCTGGCAGCTGGGAGCGTGACCGAAATCGGGAGCAGAGAGCGCCATCAACATTGTCATCGCTATCCAATTGAATCAAATCCAATCCCCAACGACGCAACGGAAGAGTCGCGGCCCAGCGCACAATCCCTCGATGTCCGCGGGTGTGGGAGGCGGAGGGAGCATAACCACAGACCACCATAGCCGTTTGTACTTCCTCAACTCGCCGACGGCGCCGCTCACCGCTCGCGACCCCTTCTTCATCAAGCCGGAGTACCTCAGCTATGAGAGTCCCATGCACCATCTCTACCCCTCGAACCGGGGCCTCATAGAGTACAACAACTACAGCACAACCGCAGCGGCCGCCGCAGCCGCAGCCTCTGCCACAACCTCCGTCTCCGTGTCTGTCGCTGCCACAGCCAGTAGTGGGAGCGGTGCAGGAACCACACCAGGAGCGGGCGCGGGATCCGGTTCGGGTTCGGCGGGGAACAGCGTTGCCAGCGTTGCGGCTGTCCTGAATTTGGAGAACACCTTCCAGCAGCAGCAGCAGCAGGCGGGCAATCCCCACCAGCAACAGCAGCAGCAGCAGCATTCGCAGGAACAGAACGTTGGCGGGCAGCACCAGCAGACGCCGCATCCCCTGCACCATCATCTCTCCACGGGAGTTGTCGTTGTCGGCGGCCCAAGTGGTAACGGTGGTGGTGCTGGTGGGATCCTTGGAGTCGGGCTCGGCGTTGGCGGTGGCCATCTGTCGCAATCGTCGCGCGCCCAAAAGGCGGCCCGTCGGCGCAGCAACGAATCGATCGAGGCCCGTGAGCGCCGCCTGGAACGGAACGCGGCTCGGATGCGGGACAAGCGTTCGAAGGAGTCGGAGGCGGAGTACCGCCTCCGGTTGGCCAAGAATGCCGAGGCGAATCGCGTCCGTCGCCAGAACGAAAACGAAGTACAAAGAACCCTAAGACTGATGAAGAACGCCGCCAGGCAGCGTCTGCGACGGGCCAGCGAGACGTCCGACGAGCGGAAAAAGCGACTGGCGAAGGCGGCGGAGCGGATGCGGGTGGCGAGGGCCAGTGCGCCCAAGGTCATAAAGCCGCCGCTAGCGGATCGGCTTAAGGGCTACTAAAACTACACACCCACACACACACACACACACAGAAACTGAGGTAAACACACACAAATACACACATACGCAGACAGACAGGTCTGGAGAGGATCAGCTGGGGAAGCAGTGCAAGTGCAGTGGGACAAGCTGTGTAAAAGCGGTGCAATCAGTGCACGGCAAACCTTTGGAGCTGGCTCCAGACAAAGAAGAAAACACAGAGAAAGATAAGCAGTGGGAAGGAGAGAGATGGAGAGAGCGGTTGAGCGGATTCAGTGCTGTAGAGGATCATCGGCGTCGTTTTAGACATCTATAAATTATATATATTGTATACATATGTATGTAGAGCGAGAGAAAACCAGGATTAGAAGAGAGACCAGAAACCAGTTGGGAGTCCAAAAGGAAAGTGAGAAAACAGGAGGCGGATGGATGGCAGGATCTGAATATGATATGGAATACGACGGTGGCACATTTACATAGATATAGGGCCGGCAATTTTTTTTTTAAGTTAACATTTAACATGATGAAGTAAAGTAAAAAGTAAAGTATTTTTATAATGCATGCATTATATTCGTACGATATATAAATACATATATACACATACACACATATGTAGCTATGTATACACATAAGCACACAGACACACACGAACATACCCATGCATGCATACATACACATAAATGTATGTGTCACGTCACTCAAAAGCTCACATACTCACACACACACACACACAGACACGCACGAAAAAGCCAGAAGGAGCTTCAACCCTACAATGAAAACATATTAGGGTTCCTCACCTCACTGAACTGTACATAAATATTTGAGAATGGCAATCGGGAAGGATGGATGTCGTCCAAAGGTGGTGCTCAAGAGGCAGGAGGGTAGGGCAGAGGCAACAAGTGTCACCGCCATATTAGTGGTAGGAGTGTCTCCTAAACTTCTAACAGGTGGCGGGGGGAGGCTAAATAATGTTTTGTCATTCAGACTGATATATTGATCGGATCTAGCTGCAATAAGGTAAAGCAATACATTTCAGCTGTGTAAGAATTACCCCCTTTACAATGCAGACGCATTTGTAACGATTAACCGACTAGAGAAACTCTAGTGGAGTCAGTCCCAGTCCCATCATGGCAGTTGTGGCTGGCCTCGTTCACATTGGCACACGGCGACTCTCGTGAGGCACCCTAGCGCTTGAGACGCCATCAGAACAACCAACCCCCATATGTGTGTTGTAGTGTGTAACCATGTAACCCAAAACGGACATTGACGGGCACATAAGGACCGCATATGCATACACACTTGACTGGGGCATATGTGGATACACACAGCTGTACAAATGATCCGTTGCCAGGCATTATGTATAACGCAATTTTTGTTATAGCACGCAATCTTTCCACATTATCCACAAACACACCCTCTCCCACAATCCACACCCAAAAGCCCAAATTCTCAGAAACAAACAAAAATAATGTAAGTTTCCTTTGAACTAAAGGATATTACAGACAAAAAAAAAAAACAAAACAAAAAAACAATGATATATTAACATTATATTATTAATAAAGGTAACAATTAAGTTCTAGTCGAAATTTCAAATTGGTTTTCCTTGTTTTTGTGTCTTAATATTTTTAGCAATTGTTTTATTGTAAACTTAAGATTAAATACATTTTGTTGCGTATTGTAACATGCAATATACATATACACTCAAGAGAACAACACAAACACAGACAACAACAAAAGAGATATGAGAAAACAAAACGAATATACTTGAATAAAATTGAATTCACAATTTTTAAATGTAGCGTTTAGCAATTAACAGCCTGAAAATGCCCCTTGTGGCGGGGTGTTTCATAAAATAATCTTTTATAATGAAATAGGAAATTAAATAAGCATTAGTAGAATCGTATGATTGCGCCACAGTGGTGTGCGATAAGTTAAGCGATTGCGCGCCAATCTATCGATAGCCGTCATCCAATATCTGTACTGTGTTTGGCTGGAATGGAATTGCCAGATCTTCGAATCGACTCTCATATACACATACAGACACGCGCACACACACTCCCATCCGATTGTGGTCATTTTTTAATATGTGTTGTGTTGACGCAGCGCTGCATTTGACTGCGCGTTTTAGCCGGAAATTTTGCGCGTTTTTCGCCCCGTTCCGTTGTTCTTAAACGATCCAAAAGTAAACCAAAAAAGTACCGAGAATTGTTAGCCGTCGCAATGCGAAATGTGGAAAAGAGACGGCCCCTGAATAAAGCCAGTAATCTGCGGCTGAGAGCCCTAGCAGATGTGCAATTTTATAGATGAAATGCCGGATGACAGCCAGCCAATCATCGGCTAGTGAACAACATAACGCTTGAGTTGTTCTTTTATTAACGCAATACCTAAATCAGTGGAAACTAACAGAATACATTTTTGTATTCGAAACACATGCAAAATAGACAGAAAAAATACACACACACGAGTACAGACGCCAGTTGATGGTGTATGCGTGCATGGGAGAGTGTATGTGTGTGTGTGTGTGCGGCTGTACATATACACATAATCATGTGAAAAATCGATTGGAAGTACTGGAAGCCCCACCACTTGGATTGGAAGTCACTGGCAGTCAGCGGCGGCGCCAATTGTCACTCACAATCGAAGAAGAAGAAGAAGCTTCCGCGGCACGCACCAACTAGTACTGAGAAAGAAAGAAAGAAGCGGAAAGAGAAAAACCGAAAAGAGCAAAAATATACCAATTATCGCACAAAAAGGCGCGCGCGCCTAGCTATCATTCACCGTGCAATTACGCAAAATCGGAAGTCGACGCTGGGTGCGAAAGGTGCGCAATCAAGCTATCGCAGACGCAAGTCCGTCTGTCCCCCAAAACTTTATTCCCCCATGAAAGATATATTTTGTATTCTCGTCATATTTGCATGTGCTACAACGATAGATCTTATTGGAAGTAAAGTAAGGAGGAGGACGATCATCGTTTCGAAAGGTATTGCGAATTGATTGACAGGCGGACGAGACAAATGCGCAAAAGAGGTGAAAGAAGCGGAAAGAGAAATCAACAACTGGCTGGCAGAGCGATGAGTAGGAAACCGAGAGAGAGAGAGCGGACGCACACATATTTCTTTATATAACGACAAAAATCGGAAACGACAAACAAAACAAACACAGAGGAAGAAGTAGAGCACAAAAGATATAGATAGATAGAGTGTGAGAGAGATAGAGAAAAAGAGAGCACTCACCAAGTTACGGCCGTTAGATGAGGCATCTCAGGAGCAGTCGCGAGAAGATCAAACCGAAATCAAAATCCAAGTCCAAATACATTTGCCAGGAGCCGCACCATCAAAAGCACTGTTGACTAGGGAGACGACAATTTCGATTGTTGTTCCGGCTTTGACCAATAATGGAACCAGATCCCAATGGGATAAAAATAGAGCCCACACTTGACCATCACCAACAGCAGCAGCAGCATCCCCAGCAGCAGCAGCAGTACGCCACCCATGTGCTGGCTATCAATGGACCCAATGCACGTCTACTCATTGAGCATCCCTCAGCGCTGTTGGTACCCCTCTCCACCCATCACCAGCAACAGCTCCAGCAGCAGCAGCAGCAGCAACAGCAGCAACAAGTTCAGCAGCAACAGCATCATCAGCAGCACCAGTTCCAACAACAGCAGCAGCATCATCTCCAGCAGCAGCAGGATCAGCTGCAGTTCCAGCACCAGCAGCTGCAGCTCAGTTTACCCGCCGCCTACACACACCAGCAACCCCTGTCATTGAAGCAGCAGCCGCCGCCCACGCCGTTAGGGCCCACGTCAAGCGTCAGTGCCAGCTCCGCCTCAATCACCGGAACGTCGACGCATCAACAGCGCTGGAACGAGAGCCCCGAGGCCCGCCAGCGCCGCCTGGCCAGAAATGCTGAGAGAATGCGCGAGCGACGACAGCGAGAGAGCGAAGACGAGTACCGGAAGCGGCTGCTGCGCAATGCGGAGGCGAACCGGCAGAGGCGCCAGAACGAGTCGGAGATTGAACGGGCGATGCGGTTGGTAAGAAATGCGGCGCGACAGAGGCTGCGCCGGGCCATGGAGTCCCCCGATCAGCGGTCGAAGCGACTGTCCAAGCTGGCCGAGCGGATGCGCATGTACAGGGCCAGCGAGTCGTCCGACCAGCGGAAACTGCGGCTGGCCGAGATGGCGGCACGGGCGCGCCAGCGGATCGCCAACGAGTCAACGGAGGAGCGCAAGGAAAGACTGAGAAAGCTGAACGACTACGCCAAAAAGGTCAGAGAAAAGAAAAAGATATTGAAGCATGTGCACGGTGCCGTGTCGTCGGTGGTGGTTACGACGACGTCCTCCTCATCGTCAACGGCAACGACGACCGCCCAGCAGCAGCAGCAACAACAACAGCAGCAACAGCAGGTGTTGGCTGTTGCAGCAGCAGCAGCAGCCGCCGCAGCGGCGGCAGCCAATTGTAATAATGAACATAATATTAATTTAAACCAGGCAAACGTTACGACGGTATCCGCCCCTCAGGCATCGAGCACGCCCGCACCCGGCACTGGAGCAGGACCCGGAAGCAGTGCCAGCACGCCCCAGGCTGTCGGCGAGGACCTGCAGCAGATGCAGCACTCGATCTCGGCCATCACCTATGAGGCGTTCAACGGCCAGGGCATGTTCATCGCCCATGGCATCGCTCGTCCGCCCATGCAACTCAAGCAGGAGCCTCAAACCCCCCAACAGCAGCAACAGCAGCTCCAACAGCAGGCGCAGCAGCAACAGCTCCAACAGCAGCAGCAGGTGCAGCAGCGGTACGCCATTGCCGGCCAGCAGCAACAGCAGGTGACGGCCACTCTTTTGGAGAGTGGCGGCGATCAGGGCAGCATATTCGTTCAGCAGATCTACGGCGAGGACCCGGGCAAGGGACCCAAGCTGTTGCAGGCGCACGTACCGCACTTCAGCATTGCTTCCGGTCCGTTGGAACTGTATCCGCACAAGTACGCCAAGAAGCAGGAACTTCAGGTGCGTATGCAGCAGCCATAGCAGAGATCGGGTAGATCGATACCGTCGTCGATAGCTCCCCCCACACACACCGCAGCACAGACCACAAGCAACAGTCAAAGATCGAATTCAAAATTGAATTCGAGTTCAAGCTCGAGCTCAATGCACACAGACTGAATTGAATACACGACAGACAGACAGACAGACCGAGAAAGACAGACAGTCGGACGGGCAGAGCTGCTGCAGGAGTCAGAGTTGCTTTTTTTTGTTCCTTAACGGGAATGGGAATGGGCCATCCGACCCAACGCCCATTTCAACCCTCGCCAAATTTGACACGTTTTTTTCGTTTTGTTAATGTTTTTTAACTGTTGTTGGTTACTTGTTCTGGTCATTTTTGTTCGCTTTCACCTCACACACAGGCACACAAACATAAACTCTGACCGGTGGGAGCGGGGTTGTAAGAACAGTCTAAAATTAATTAATTAACAATTTAGAGTGTAGATAATGTAGAAGAGATGTAATGAAAATGGAAACAAATCAAGAAACTTTTACCAACAAGAACCAAATCTAAAAAAAGTGTCTTTTAATTCGATTTTGAATTTCCACGAAGGAAACGAAAGAAATGCAGGATAAATGTCCTTTAGTGGCTTTTCTAACAGTTGTTCTCTCCCGCTGCTCGACGGGTGTTCGCGCGTGTTTATGTGTGTGTGTGTGTGTGTGTGCGTCTGTGTGTTCGCGTTGCTTCATCGTCGCCAATATCATTACCATCTCTCTCTCATTCATTCAACTTTACCAAGCAGTGATCAAGGCAGCTGATCTAACCTCACTTTCTATCTCTTTTTCTCTCTCTCTCTCTCCGTTTATTGTCCCCCTTGGACCGACAATCATACGAAAATTGACAGTCGGCCAATGGCAACAATGCACCACCTGGAACGGTAACGGTGTCCTCCACAGGAGCGAGCGGGACCAGCGAGAACAGCGGGTCTGTTAGTCTGGGACAAAATGAGGCCAAGGTAATCATGACCACCAGCGGGGGCGACCAGCAGCAGAAGGTCCTCAAGTCGGCGGGACAAGCAACGCCCCTCTACAACCAGTTCCCCTACCTGGCCACCTTTCCAAGTAATACCAATACAGCCAGCACCACCGTGACGACGTCGAACGTGAGCGCGGCCGGGGTTGGGGCTGTGTCAACGGGGGGAGCCGGTGGGACCACCACCACAACCGCCTACTACCCCATGTACCACAATGGCTTCCAGCTGGGAATCGGGCCAAGCGCAGTGCCGCCGCCCTTCACCCCGGTCCACTTTGCCAGTGCCAGCGGCGGGAGCAGTCCCACTTCGACGGGCCAGTACAACATTCTCACGGCGACCTCCACCAACCCCACGCTGACCGTCACAAGCCTGGGCCATCAGCAGCAGCAACCCCAGCAGTCGCAGGAGCAGATCGTGGCGACGGTTGGTCGCGGAAGGCCGAGAAAGAACGTAATGGTGAGCCACTCGGGCGGCGAGGAGCAGCTGAAGGTAAACACAATGCTGGAGCAGGAGCTAAACCAGATGCTCGCCGTCCCCCAGTTGAGCACCACTCCAAGGCGGGGCCGGCCCCTCTCCCAGCCAACGCAACAGCAGGATCTTGGAGGGTCACTGCCCCACATACATGTACATTCCACGGCAGACGGGGACAACAGGTCGCCGGGCACGCCACGACGCAGTGGCCCCAACAAGTACGAGACAGAGGATGAGAAGCGCCTACGCCTGGACAAGATGGCAGCCCACCAGCGGGCAGTGCGGGCGAACGAGACGCCAGAACAGCGCGCCGTGCGACTGCAGAAATTGAGCGAGCGGGCACGCTTGAAGCGCGCCCAGATTCGGGCCACTGAAAATAACGATGAGCGCAAGGAGCGGCTCTCCAAACAGGCCGAATACGCTCGGATGCGACGCATGCGCAGCCACACGCCGCGCAGCAGCTCTGCCAGCGGCGAGTTCCGTGCCAAGACGGAGGAGGAGACCTCGGAACAACTCTATGAGACGGATGACGGAGTAGGCGTTGGGTCCGGCGACAGTTTCGTGACGGTGGTCAAGTCGGACTCGCAGCTGGACGGAGATGGCTCCAACGACGAACTTGCGACCCTTCAGCTGCAGCAGCACGAGATCCAGCAGATTGCCGGCAACCTACAGCAGCACAATCCCCATCATGAGGCCATCGTTCTCAATCAGCAGCACCGCCTGGTGACCCTCGGCCAGCACCAGCAAGGCTACAGCAAGCTGCAGACTGTTAAGGATTATGCCGCTGCCAGCGGCGGTGCAGGAGTGACAGTAGGAGGTTCTGGTCCCGGTGGTGGATCCAATGCTGGCGGTGGTGGTGGCAATGGCACCGGGGCACCCGAGAACAACGACATGCTGAAGATACTCGAGCCGATCATCGTGATGAAGACCAAATGAGAGTCGAGAAGGCGCCACAGTCGCGCCATGAATCGCTAGAGAAGCGATCGATCCAAGCGGTATGCAGTGGCGTAGAGAGGTTGAATGAGGTGCGGTGGACCCGGCCATCCAAGCTAGGGTTCGCTTAACCTGTCGATCGCTACGTCCATGGGGCTCCGCAAGACGGAGATGTCCGTGCGAAACAGTGTCTATAGCTAGGAATAAGAGTGTTTTTTTTTCGTTGTGGAATTTTGTGTTTGTCCGTGTAAAAAGTGGAAGGGACTGACAAGACGAGCGGATATGTATATGTTTACCCAAGGATGCTTGGTTTTGGTTAAAGCATAAACCACAATTACCAATCACCCGCAACCCCTATCTCAATCAAAAGGAAACTGACGCCCCCGAAAGCAGAGCAGATGTGGAGAGGAATTCAATCTCCTCAGGATATTTAATCATCGTGGGAGGGAGCAGCGCGCCCTGCAGTGCACTCACGACTAGACTATCGTACAGAGAAAAGGTGCTGCACGAGCCCAGGGCACAGCTAAATGTGAAGAGAGATCAACTAATCCTAATCCAGATTATGTAGCGCGTAACCAGATCACTAAGTAGATGTATGTATTAATTATTAATTTTTTAAATTAGCAAAAAATACAAATAAATCTAATAAGAAATGCAAATTTTTGAAGTGCTGGGTGTATGGGGTCTATCGATAGCCGTCACAAAATCGAAATCGATTCGAACTCTTTGCCAGCTCTAAAAATGGCCAGGTTCAAAACATTGCACAGCGTGGACACAGAATATTCAGCCGATTCGGTGGAGTGGTGTGCCCAGGATGATCAGCATGCCCACTACTTTGCCTGCGGAACCTACCAGCTGGTTCAAATGGAGGACGACGAAGCCACCACCAAGGACCGCCCACGCAAGGGACGCGTTTACCTCTACCACTTTGAGGCAGGGAGTGGAGCACTGGAGCGTCTGCAGAGCATTGAGACGGCGGCCATACTGGACATGAAGTGGCTACCAGCATGGAGCAGCGACAGTGGCCCACTTCTGGCCACAGCCAACGCCTTGGGAGAGGTAGAAATCTACGAACTGCTGGCGAATGAAAAGCAGCTGCAAAGACGCACGTGCCTAGGTGTGACGGCTGCAGAGTCAACTGCTGAGGCTCCCACTGGCTCTGGCCCTGGACTGGCAGCGTGATGGAGATGCAGTGCAGCTAGTAGTCTCAGACTCGAAAGGAAACATTAACCTTTTGCGCTACACCCCGCAGGGAAAGCTGTTCGTCCTGAGCGCATGGAATGCGCACGGCTTTGAAGCCTGGACCTGTGCGCTTGACCGCTGGACACCGCATCGCGTGTACAGTGGTGGCGACGATTGCCTCCTCCTGGCCCATGATTTGCGCACGGAACAGCGTGTGTGGACGAATAGGGCGCACCAGGCAGGCGTTACTTGCCTACTTAGCCATCCGCAGCACGAGCACCACCTACTCACGGGCAGCTATGACGAGCAGCTGCGTCTCTTCGACACGCGCGCCATGAAACGCTCGCTGGCCGAAGTGAATCTGGGGGGTGGCATCTGGCGCCTCAAGCCGCATCCCAATCGACAGGATGTCATCCTGGCCGCCTGCATGTACAAGAACTTTAGCGTCGTTCGACTCGATCTGAAGGATTCGGCAATAACGGTGCTTGGCACATACGACGAACATTCGAGCATTTGTTATGGCGCCGACTGGGATCCAAGTTTGCCCGAAGACGATGGACTAATGCACATGGCTACCTGCTCTTTCTATGACCACAAAATGTGCGTTAGCAGCGTTCATCTTGACACTTAAAACAATAAATGTAAATTATGTTCATATTTCGATAATTTCAAGCCTACCGAATCAGGGATGATATTCGTATGGAAACGATAAAAATTTCGCTCAACCGAAAATTTATCAGCAGTACCTCCCTAAGCCTAGTACTCAGATCAGCTAAATTATGTTTTTTATCTCCTTATAAATAAAAAAAAATGAGTACCGGGTATAAAATTAAGCAAGCTAGAAATTCCAGACTGAATTCCAAAATCGATTAACATCTTTTCAGTTGGTGAACAAAAAAGAACTATTATCGTGAACTGAATAACAGTTCGTTCACTCCTATGAATAGTTCTTTTTGGGTGTTCGTTCATGATCGACCAACACAATTGCCGATTCAAAATGAAAGACATCAACACAAAATCGCTGAAGCAAGAGCTAAACAGAATCCAGGGGGCTCACAAGCATATTATAAAATTCGTGAACGATACCAATGAGAACATCGAACAGGTCAAGTCCTGGCCAGAGTCATCCACAGCCTTCAACGAGCGCACATTGAAGCTGATCAAAGACCACCAGGAAGCCCAGCTGGAAGAGCAAGCGCTCCAAATGCGCATACAGTTTTTGGGTAGGTTACAAGCAAAAAAAGTTCACATAAACCCCTTACAATATTAGCCGTCTGATCTTCAGGTAAAGAGAAACATGTGGGGGACGCCTTCGCCTGCATAGTGCAGAACCTCGATAATCTTGGCTGCACATTAATGCCCATACTCGACGCCAACTCGAAGACTTTCTACAAATTCGATTTTGACGGCAAGCAATCTGTGACAGTTCAGTGCAACGGCGGTCATATCAACCTCATCGACATGAGCCCGCGTCGAGAGAACTATGCCGAGATAAAGATGTTCCTGGACCAAAGCCAGGACCTGATGGGCCTGATCACCAGCTTGGGGACAGACGTCCAATAGAGGGGATTATGGGCGTGCGGTTAATTTCGAATTGTTTATAAATACATATGTAAAATATAGGTATCACACGCTTTTCCATTTGATTTTCTCAGAGTAACAAGTAAACGAAACATCTGCATACGCGGGGGCCTACGGGGCCACCACGTTCTGGATCCAGTTGAGGGCGCCGCGAACGCGACGCAGGCGAGCGCGCGCCAGGAAGCTGCAGATCAGCAGATATTCCACGTAGGCTCTTCGTCCGCCCGTGCTGGCTCCGATGATGCCTCCGTCCATCTTCATGTTTCCGGTGCCCAGGTGGAGGGGGGGGCGTCCCTCACACATTATCTTCGTGGTGAGCGAGAGCAGCCATTGAAGGATCTGCATGAGACAAGAATTACCGATACAATGTTATTATCGGTATTTGATTGAGTGATTAAGCAAGAGACTGAGGCAGACTCACCTCGGAGCTGTTGGGCATGCCGCCTGCCTTGAGCCAGTTCGAGGGCGCCCAGAGGAAGAGTTGGACCACGTTGGCTGCAATGTCCGGACTGACACGCTTGGACGGGTTGGGATTGAGGATGTTGTAGACCAGATGCTGCAGCAGCGGCGGGCACGAATCGGTCATGGGCGGCAGCTGCTCTTGCTTGTAGTCGCTGTTCCGTAGCGAGTACGTGAGCTCTCCGCGCTCGTGGGCGAGGCCTCCGCTGCTTGAGTAAAAGGGATTGCGCATACCGAATATCTCGTAGGCCAGGGCACCACAGGCCCACAGGTCGGCCTTGCCATAGTTTAGCACCGCAAACGGACCCGGCATCGTGTTAAAAATCTCTGGCGCCATTAATGCAGCATTGCCGCCCTTGTCGACGTCGTGAGAAACATAAGGCAGCCTTAGGCCATGGACCTTGTCCGCCAAGCAGCAGCCAAAGTCGGATAGAACCAGCACGGGCGACTCGTCATCTTGGAGCTCGATAAGCACATTGTCGGACTTTAGATCGCGATGGGCCACCCCGTGGCGGCTGAGGTGGGTGACAGCCTCCAGCATTTGCGCCAGCAACAGGATGCGAGTGCGTGTGCTCAATTCCTGGTTATCGAGCAGGCCGCGCAGGCTGTGGTCGTAGCGCTTCATAAGCAAATACAGAGACATATTCCGGCCATAGCCCTGTGGATTGATCCGTTGAGGCTGGGCGATCGGGTAGAGCAGATGACCGTCGGGAAAGTTGCGCACCTCGTCGCAGAAGAAGCCGAACATGCACACGATATTCGGGTGCGGTGGCAGCACAAGGGTCTGGTTCTGCAGCAGGCGCTCCCACTCCTCGGCTGCCGTGTTCATTTGGCGTTGGCGGGCCGGTACCGTCTCCTTGTACATGGCGCGCAGTATAGACAGGGCGTTGCTCTGGATGTCGTAGTTGAACATCATCTTGAGGGCCAGGGGATAGGTGTCGATGGAGCTTTCCAGTTTGGTATCCACCAGTGGGTTCTGTTCGGGCAACATATTAAAATAATTCAATGCAGGTCAGACACGAGATATTTTCATCGGGCTTTACCATATTGTAGGCAGTGGACAAGCCTGCAGGCTGGGATTGATCCTCTGGGACGGACTCGCGCTCCTGTTCTCGCTTCAGAGCGCCCACAAAATCGGTCGCCGCCGAGGGCTGGCTATAGTTCAAGATGTTGTCCACAGAGCCGCCAAAATTATGCACAAACCGGGACATATTCTGCAGCGGCGACATCATCTCATGACGCCAGGCAGTCGACGCATTTGCTGCAGAATGCACAGATGTAATTGGGGGCACTTCAGGATTGCCACGATCTGAGGCAGGTGTACTTTGGCCCTTCTTGAAGTTAGCCGCGTAGACAACTGCCGCACAGCCTTTGGCTATGGGCGATCCTACTTCGAGGTCGTCGATAGTGAAGTTGCTGTTGAGGGTCTCAGAGATATCGTCCTTGTTCCATGCGGTCTGCAGGCGGCTAGCAGCCTCGCGTATCTCCCAACAAACGCCCTCGAGCTCATCTTCCTTGCTGAGAACCCCCGATCCGGTAGCGAGGCTCACTCCAATTAGAGCAAAGAAAGGAGCCGAGTCGCCATAGAATAGTTTACGTGTGGCCCGCTGGCGGAGCTCCTCGGAGTAGTTAGTGGTCACGCGACTCAATATGTTGTCGATGAAGAGCTTGCGTGCATGCTGCCCGATGCGAAACAGCCCACTCCCACCGGGAGGGACGCCATTGCGGGGCAAGACACTGGCCGGCGGTGGTGCTGACCTGGCTACCTGCTGTGGTGCGTTCTGCAGGAGCGGATAAAATGGGTTACCATGAATGCAAGTTCGCTTTGTACTCCTGGACTTACCCGAGCTACATTGGCGGCGGAGGATGGTAGGGGAAAGCCTCGCTTGCTGCGTGTTTTCAAAGGGTTTGGTTCCAAAATGTTGGCGTGTATATCACGGTGACAATAGCTGCGCAGAATGTAGCGACCATGTTTGATCAGTCGCACTGTCAACAGTCTCACAGACATTTTTCCCTACGGCCGGATTACTGCCTGCGAACAGCAATGGATGAGATCGGTTGAACATTGAATTCCCACCGGTATGAGCTCACCTTTTATTTTATTTTACGCCTGCGGGGGCGTCCGTCTCTGTGTTTGTCGCCTCGCACCACGCACCTGCCCTTCTCAATTTAATTTATTAAGGGTACGATGGTAACGCAATGTTGCTCATATATGTAGGTTGAGGGTGCGTGTGATCGATATCGCTCGCCTGCAAACAGCTGCTGCAGTCTGGAGTGTGTGTGTGTTTTATATTTTTGCGTCGTAAAATTAACCATGAACCAATTGCAATACCGAAAAAAAGGTTGGAAAAGGTAATCAACTTGGTGGCGAAACGAAGCTTTCAAATTTTCTTATGGTGTGGTGCTAGATAGAATTTTCTTTTTAGTTCGACTGTAAATTTTCAAATCCCCTTGCCTGCCTGAAATATCTGTTGTCTGTTGTTATGCCTACTAGAATCACCGCACTCTGACTCTGGTCTGTTCGAAAGCAAATACAACGTACATATGTACATAGTCAAAGCCAAAATTTCCTAATACATCGATATTGTCGTTAGATAATCGAGTACAGACCTAGACTCACTGAATCGGTGCACTGGGTGAAAAAACGTTGCTGACAATGATGAAGACACAGGTTGTTTTTATATTTTCGGATTCTCCCGGATTTGGGTTCTCTTCGAAGCAATAATATTGCGATAGGGACAAAGAAAAACTCACAAACACAAATACAGCTGTCGCTGGCAGTACCAGGGCTGCAATATCTATCGACAATGAATGGCCATAGAGATGGGATGGATGACACAGAGAAAGTATCGAAAATATTGCAAGTGAGCTTTATTGGAGCTAACGGATAAATTTAATGAGAATAAATTAAAACTATTTGGGGCCCAGCATCTTCTTGGGATCGACCCACTCCTTGAACTGCTCCTCGGTGACGCCAGCCTTAAGGGCCTCCTCCTTTAGGGTGGTTCCATTGTTGTGCGCCGTCTTGGCAATTGCTGCCGCCTTGTCGTAGCCAATGTGCGGATTCAGGGCCGTCACCAGCATCAGAGACTCGTTCATGATCTTCGCAATGCGCTCATTGTTCGGCTTGATGCCCTCCACGCAGTTCTTGCTGAAATTCTTGCTCCCATCGGCTGCAAGCACAGGCGGAGGACAAATAAATGAGTTGGAGGCACCCCCTTAGTACTCAATGGTTAAGTACTCACCCAGCAAACGTATAGAGCGTAGAACATTGGACACGATCAGCGGCTTGAACACATTCAACTCAAAGTGTCCGTTGGCGCCACCGATGGTTACGGCCACCTGGTTGCCCATCACCTGGGCACAGATCATAGTCATGGACTCGCACTGAGTGGGATTTACCTTGCCAGGCATAATCGAGCTGCCCGGCTCGTTCTCCGGCAGCATGAGCTCGCCCAGGCCGCAGCGCGGACCCGAGCCCAGCAGGCGGATATCATTCGCAATCTTCATCAGGCTGACAGCAATTGTGTTGAGTGCTCCGTGCACCTCCACCATGGCGTCGCGGGCGGCTAGAGCCTCGAAGAAGTTGGGAGCCTTAACGAAGGGGAGACATGTGAGGTCGGCAATGCGCTTGGATACCTTCTCGGCGAATCCCTTGTGGGTGTTGAGACCAGTGCCGACGGCTGTGCCGCCAAGGGCCAGCTCGTAGACGCGCGGCAGGCACGCATTGATCCTGTCAAGCCCATAGGTGAGCTGCTGGGCGTAGCCGCTGAACTCCTGACCCAGGGTCAGAGGCACGGCGTCCATCAGATGGGTGCGCCCAATCTTGATTATGTCCTTAAAGTCCTCCGACTTGCACTTAATAGCATCCCGCAAATGAGTCAACGATGGTATGAGGCGCTCGTTCAGTTCCATGCCCACGCTGATGTGGATGGCAGCAGGAAAGGTGTCGTTGGAGCTCTGCGACTTGTTTACATGGTCATTGGGATGCACTGGCTTCTTGGAGCCCAGCTCGCCGCCCATCGCCTTGATGGCTGCGTTGCTGATGACCTGCGGGGAACAAGGAGTGCCAGTTGGGGCTGATCAGGGCGTTGCCCAAAGATGATGTGTGGTCACCTCGTTTGTATTCATGTTGGTCTGGGTGCCGGAGCCGGTCTGCCAAATGACCAGCGGGAAGTGGCCCCGCTTGTAGAACTTGCCCGAGATGACGTCGTCGCAGGCACAGGAGACGGCGTCCGATATTTTGCCATCCAGTCCGTAATCCTTGTTCACCTCGGCACAGGCCTTTTTAAGTATGCCCATGGCCTGGATCACTGGCATCTGTGGATCGGCGCAATGCGGGAGTCGAAACGTTAGCTGTGGGATGACTCTAGAGGACTTCGTTTGGGGTGGTCATAGCTACCGGCATGCGTTCCCCAATGTCGCCAATGGGAAAGTTGATCTTGGAACGCATCGTCTGTGCCCCGAACAACATTTCGGACGGCACCTTCAGCTCCCCAAAGGTGTCCTTCTCCATCCGGAACTTTCCCTCTTTGGACTTTCCCTTTTTACCCTGAAATGCCAACAAGTCTTAGCCAAATCCCAATCAATGTACTCCATCGAACATACATCCTTGCCACTGAGGCTCGCGGAGACCCTGAGGCCGCGGGAGAAGTACTTGCCGACCACCAGCATGCGGGAAACGGGCAACATTTTTTTTGGTTTATAAAAGTTGAACTTAATTTTTAGGAAATTTCGAAGTCTATTCGACAACCGATTTATTGCGACTGGTGAATCGAACAAAAAAAACACAGAGTTCAGAAAGAGGACTCAAAAGTAGCATCGAGTGCCTACTTGGGTCCCAGCATTTCTTCGGGCTTGACCCAGTCGTTGAACTGCTGCTCGGTGAGGTAACCCAGGTTGATGGCCTCCTCCTTGAGGGTGGTTCCGTTCTTGTGTGCCGTCTTGGCGATCTTGGCCGCCTTGTCGTAGCCGATGTGCGGGTTGAGGGCCGTCACAAGCATCAGGGACTCGTTCATGATCTTGGCAATGTTCTCGCGATTGGCCTGGATGCCGTTCACGCAATTGGCGGTGAAGGTGCGACTGCCGTCGGCTGGAAACGGATGGAAATGAAATGGCAGTGCACCGTACGGGAATAAGCAAAAGATTGGAACAAGATATCTATATATGTATGTACTTACAGAGCAAGCGAATGGAGCGCAGCACATTGGACACTATTAGGGGCTTGAACACATTCAGCTCAAAGTGTCCGTTGGCGCCACCGATGGTTACAGCCACCTGGTTGCCCATGACCTGGGCGGACAACATGGTGAGGGACTCGCACTGCGTGGGATTCACCTTGCCAGGCATAATGGAGCTGCCGGGCTCGTTTTCGGGCAGGGAGAGCTCGCCCAGGCCGCAGCGAGGACCCGAGCCCAGGAAGCGGATGTCGTTGGCAATCTTCATGAGGCTCACGGCAATCGTGTTGAGTACCCCGTGCACCTCCACCATGGCGTCGCGGGCGGCTAGAGCCTCGAATTTGTTGGGCGCCGTCACGAAGGGCAGGCTGGTCAGCTGGGCGATCTTGGCGGCGCACTTCTCGGCGAATCCCTTGCGGGTGTTAAGGCCAGTGCCGACGGCTGTGCCGCCGAGCGCCAGCTCATAGACGCGCGGCAGGCAGGCATCGATACGATCCTGGGCGTAGGCCAGCTGCTGGGCATAGCCGCTGAATTCCTGGCCGAGCGTCAGTGGGACGGCGTCCATGGTGTGGGTGCGACCGATCTTGATGATGTCCTTGAACTCCTTCGACTTGGCGGCCAACGCGTCGTGCAGTGTCTTGATGGCCGGCTTCAGGTTGTTGTTTAGCTGCAGGGCTACGGAGATGTGAATGGCCGTGGGGAAGGTGTCATTGGAGCTCTGCGACTTGTTCACGTGATCGTTTGGATGCACGGGAGTCTTGGATCCCAGCTTGCCGCCCAGCAGCTCAATAGCACGATTGCTGATCACCTGCGGAATAATTGTCATGAATTTTCTATAGCAGTGAGGATAGGAAAACTGGTCTATTGGGCATTAAAAATGGCAAAAGATCGGAGAGACTCACCTCGTTGACATTCATGTTGCTCTGGGTGCCAGAGCCCGTCTGCCAGATCACGAGGGGGAAGTGATCGTCGTACAGCTTGCCCGAGATCACATCATCGGCGGCCTTTGAGATGGCCTCGCTCACCTTGGTGTCCAGTCCGAATTCCTTGTTCACTTCGGCTGCGGCCTTCTTCAGGATGCCCATTGCCTGCACCACAGGTTTCTGTGAAATGAAATCAAGATTTATAGTGGAGAAATGGGGGGAAAAAGAGTAAGAGATGGCTGGGTGTAAGACCTACTGGCATACGCTCTGTGGTCCCTCCAATGGGGAAGTTGATCTGAGAGCGCATCGTCTGGGCGCCATAATACTTGTCCGCCGGCACCTTCAGCTCTCCGAACGTGTCGCTTTCCACTCGGAACTCCTGGGAGGCCTGGAGGGATTGGAAATAATATAAGTTTACTCTGACGTCAATACCATTGGATGAATTCGTGGGGAGTGAGGGTTGCTCTGACCATTGCGAAGGAGATAAGTTGTTTGAATCAAATGGCGAGCACTCGGACTCTAAATTGCTGTGATTGCTGATGCTGCTGCTGATGTACTGTTCCTACTGGCTGAGAGCAGATAAGGTGGGACCATAAAACCTTGTCGGAGCGCGAAATTCCAGACAGCGCTCTCAAGCAGTGCGCGGCCATGGATTGAAAGGGAGGTTGGCGCCGGGTGGTGGTGGCGAGTGAAGACTCTGCCCGGCATGGGGGCACTTTGCTAATCAGCTGAGTCTTTACTTTGGCACATAGCACACACACACAGACACACATACATATGTACATGTACTTTCATGAGTTGGGTATGTATGGGCGTTGTGTGTGTCTGTATGTGTGGAATCTATGCCCAAGTTCTTCATCATTATTAACAGTTATCAGGATTATCGCATGTGGAACACATGGAACAGTGAGGGTATAGCACGTGTCGGCACTGGATTACTTTAAAATACACAATTAACCGGTTTGCATTGAATTGAATTGCCGAAACTAGAATTGTCAGCGAATTTCATTGCTAAATTTGTTCTCTCGCTTACAACTCGTTTTACAAGTTGTTGCTGCTTTATTTTTCATTTTGAAGTGCGAAAGAGTGGAACGAGAACCACCACAGAGCGAACAATTATGTAGTGTGTAAAAAATCAATATGCCAATTGGAGTCCAAGTGAACGGAGTCCACAAGGTATCAGACTGCCTTCCAATTGGGACCAAGTCGGACTGCACTACCGGCATTTGCAATCCACAAGTGGCAGAATGTTTCCAATTGGGAAACTGTTTTCGTTAAACTTCTTCAGGCTATTCCAGGGCCTGGAGGCAGTGACTTCCATAGTATCAGCGCCCACAGGGGCGATTACGAAACGCAGGTAAGCGGTTTTTTTTTGCGATTTCAGATTTCCACCCACAACTTCGGATTACAATCTGCCAGTGGCAGCGCTGGACTTCTTTTTGGCCAGCGAAGTTACATAAGCAGGAGGGCTATGCAGCACGGCACGCCAAATTGCCGACCCATCGGATCCTTACCATTCTCAGGCTGAAGGCAGTCGCGGCCCATGGCTGGGTTAACTGTTGCACGCCGCGAAGCGTGGAGCGTTGTAGTAAAGGTAGAACCATCTTTTCGAATATATTTAATGTTTGATATTTTTGAAAATATTGCCGCTGCTTTATCACTTTCGCCTCCCCAGGTGCTGCTGTTTCTTCAGACGAGCCAACCACAACAACAACAACAAAAAAACAGTGCGCGGGGTGTAATTTTCCGATAGTGCTGGCGACTATCGATATCATAATTATTTAAATCTAATAATTGTTTTATTTATTTATTAAAATCTATGCAAATTTCACGCTGTATACTGGTGTAAGGAAAAAGCAAGCGAACTTTTCGCCATCACATGTCGTTTGGGTACATTTGTTTACATTTTATATGAGGAATCCGTCTCCCTAGGCTTTTGTGATCGTATTCGCACTACACTACAAGTTCAGGCCCTGAGACAAAATATAAAAACATTGTGGGAAAAGGTTGCAGTGTGAGAGAGAGAAAAGAAATATATTTGTGCCCTTAAATCTGTAAGAGAAGAGTTGGGAGTGGCTCTTCTGGGTTGTGAATTGTTCAGTACTATTCGTGTTTTTGATGCCATTGTTAAAACTGTACTCTGCAAGAATTAAACTAAGCATAACTTTAGAAATTGTAATTCGACATCAATCATGTTCTAACCAGGTGAAGAAACCGTGTGGCTGGCACCAAAAGTGTTTTTCAAGACCACTGTACAAATCTGAGCTCGTATGTAGATATTTCTGAAGGAATATTTATTACAAGATATATCGCCTCTTTTCTTATTCCTGGAAAAAACTATGGCTTTAAAAAGGAAGAAGTTGAAACATTGAAAGTTTTAAATATACCTTTTCAGTGTGAAATCTAGCTCTTATAGTCTCTGAGAGCTAGGCAACAAAGAAGATGGACAGACAGAATGGCTATATAAATACCTAACTATACTATAAATTTGTAGAAAAAAATTGCGTGTAAGCGGCTATCTCCGCAACGCGTGCACCAAATTGCATGCGGTTTTTTAAATGATAGCCAGAGTATGTGGCATTTTTTCTATACAAAAGTTTTTACTTTTTTATAAATAGGTCTCTCGAAAAGTAAAAATTAATCAAACAAAAATCTAAAATTTGGTCTAAAAATGTGTGTTTGATTTAATGATAGATTTTGTTTTTTATTCCTTTTTGTATGAAAAATTGTTTTCTGAAAAAATTGCAATTTGTGTAAGTATATTTGTTGCTTTTGTTTGTTTATATCGATGAATTCCTAAATATTAAATGAATTTAGTAAGCGGCGAAGCGCGCGGGTCTACTAGTTCAATATATATGCATATGTATCACTTAATACAAGCGAAACGTCCCAAAACGTTTCCTTTGCTAGTACTTCAAACTGAATCGGACTTTTCAAAAAGTAAAAATTCAAACATCAATTCGATTGCAACACAATTATACATGCCTCTCACTCTCACTGCCTGCTAGGTTTCTATTGCTGGTCACACAGTCTCAAATTTAAGTGTAGTGGAATACGCGCCTCACCGAGGAGGCTTATCAGCACGAGACCATCTACAGCGTGCAGAAAACTATCGGCACGAATCCCATCTCCAGAACAGCTGAGCTGTGTCTACTGTTCCAATCGCTGTAGGAAAGAGAAAAACTTTACATTTTTTGAAAGGAGCTCGAAATGTCGGCGTTTGTGAAGTCTGTGTGCCTGGCACATAAATTGTGTGCGGCTAATCCCGCCCTGGCCCGCCAGATGGTGCGCAGCAGTAAGTTTTCCCTAGGCCAAAAAATGTGACATCTGTGGGTCCGGCATTCTGTTTTGTTTACGTAACTTTTGTACGCTGTGAAAGACTACACTACAGCCGTACTTTCGTTCTCATTGCATAGTGGCTGGATGGAACAAGGACTATAAGCCAGCCCCATTCCCAAAGACAGAGAAAGAGCGTGAGGCAGCCGCCAAAAAGTACTATCTTCTGCCAGAAGAGTACAAGCCCTATGCCGACGACGGCTTGGGCTATGGCGACTACCCGAAGGTTGGCGGCGGCCTAGGTGTGGAGAATAAGGATAGCTACTATCCCTGGGACTATCCCGAGCACAAGCGCAACCTCCACGAGCCCGTGAGTAGTCACATTGGCGGGAAAACATTGACAATATCTATAAATTTGCATTATACCTTTTCCAGATCTCGGCGGATCATGACTTGTACAGCGAAGACCGCTACTCACAGGCCGAGCAGCCCCGCTATAGCACCTCGTACTACGTCTTGAGCTTTGTGGGCGTCATGTCCGGCTGCCTGGCCCTCTACTACTGGCTGGAGGACAAGAAAATGTATCGTCCCGTGGCCGCCAAGCAATATCCGGCTGATGGCGTCAAGCACTACACCTTTGAGAAGTAACTGTTTGGGGGATTTACTCGCCCGGTCGCCGGCTCTGCGGTGCTCAGTCCCTTCTACTTCATAGGCAATTTATCCATGCATCTGTAAAATTAAACTGAAAAGAAACCAATCCCCGAATTCGAATGTGTACGAACATGCATATGCATGTTTCTTGGAAATTAGCGACGAGGCTATCAAAATTAATTGTTGGTGAACGTTTATTAGGCAGAAACAAAAATTCAAGAACTGGTTTGCAATTCGACCACCCTGGATGACACAGGACGACCAGTAGCTAATGAAAATGGTGAAAACTTAGAGCTAAACTTAACAGTGTGCTTCAGAGTAACTTACAGAGCTACATATCTAACCCATATATAAGAAATGGGTGCAACAAAATACGGAAAATACGGAAGAGAAAACACGATTCTAAAAACTAGTTACGAGTATGATGATGGATGTGGGTGGAGAGAGTTACTCGACGACGTAGTTGGGATGGACCACTAGGAGGGGATCATTGTCCACTTGCTCCTCGGCCGGGCCCTTGATCCTGGACAGGTTGGATGTCTTGAGGGGAATGATTACCTGGTCGTGGTAAATGAGGCGATCGATCAGCTTCTCGATGAGGTTCTTGCGCGAGATGAGCTCGTCCTCTGACTCGATCTGGTCGGCGACCTGTTCCAGATACCAGGTGACCACATCACTGCGCTTCATGCCAGAGTCGCTGCCCTCAACCTCGCAGCGGGCCTCCTCGCCACGCATGTGCAGCACCAGCATTGTGGATAGGTTCTTGTAGTCCTCGAAGGAGAGGGTGAACTTCTTCTGGACAGTGGCGGCGCCGGAAGTGTCCAAGGCATCGGCATCAGTGTTGGCCGCAGCCCCGTTGTTCTCCATGTCCATATCATCCTGAATGCCATCGTCCACGTCCAGATCCTCGTCATCGTCCAAGTGGATGTCGGGCTGCTCCACGCGGATGATCGACTTGTTCAGCAAACGGAAGGCCTCCTTGACGTGCCGCTCCAGCACTCGATTCGAGCACTCCAGCTTGGCCATGGCCTCGCTCAGCCGGATCATAGACTCCAGCTGACGGACGGTGATCCGCCAGGTGCTACGGCCGGCGGTGCCCGTATCGCGCTGCCGCAGATGGCCGTAGTTCTCCACCAGCATCTTGCCGGCCTCCTGGCCGATGATCGGCTTAAACTGGCGAGCGAAGGTCACGTAGCGCAGCACCTCTTCGCGGCTGTAGGCCCGCTCCACCGACTCTTCTATGTTCGAGTGGAGGTCCACAATCTTCCGGGCAATGGCATAGTCCACCACCTCGTTGCACTCGTCGACCAGGATAAAGAACAAATCGAAGCGAGACATGATCGGGGCCGACAGCTGGATGTTCTGCTGCAGGCTCTTGGAACGGTCGTAGCGGCCATTGATGGGATTGGCAGCGGCCAGGATCGAGGTGCGGGCATTCAGCGTGGCCCGGACTCCGGCGCGGGCAATCGAGATCGTCTGTTGCTCCATGGCCTCGTGTATGGCCACCTGGTCGCGCAAGTCCATCTTGTCAAATTCGTCGATGCAGCAGATGCCGTTGTCGGCCAACATAAGGGCGCCCGCCTCGATCACAAAGTCGAAACTCTCCTCGTCGCGCACCACCGCGGCTGTCAGACCAGCCGCCGATGAGGCCTTCCCCGAAGTGTAGATGGCGCGTGGTGAGAAGTCCGACACCTGCTTGAGGAACTGCGACTTGGCCGTGCTGGGATCGCCGACAATGCAGACGTTGACGTCGCCACGGAGCGAGGTCTTCTCTATGGTGGTCTTGGCCACGCCTCCGAACAGCTGTAGCAGAATGCCACGCTTCACCTCGTCGTTGCCGTAGATGGAGGGGAAGAGGCAGGTGATCAGGTTCTGGTACAGGTTGCGGTCCTTGGACATCTCGTAGATCTTGTGCCACTCGGCGTCCGTCATCTGCTTCTTCATGTCCTCGGCGGTGACCTCAGACATCGGCAGATCTGTGCCACCGAAGCGCGCCGTGGTAGCCTGGACGCTGCAGGCCAGGAAGGCCATGCGATAGTTGAGCTCTCGCATGCCCAGGGCCTTCAATCCGGTGACTCCCTCCATACCCTCTCCGGGCTTGTGTCGGGAGCCGGACTCGGCCTTGGTGCCGGGCATTGCCAGCACACTGACATCGGGTACCACGATGAGAGTGCCAGTGAAGTCGTAGCGATCGCCAGCCTGGACGGTCTCCACGAGCTCGGAGCGCAGAATAATCTCAACTGCACGCGGAATGCAGCCGCGGGGCAGCTCCGCCTGCGTCTCCTGGATACGGATCTTCTGAAAGTCGAGGAAGAGGCTCTTCTCCACATCGAGCATGAAGCGGCGGCGGTTGGAGCAAACGGGATTGCGGCAGATGGTGGGATTGGTGAACTTGAACTGCTGCTCCACGTTGCGGATCTCGGTCTGGCAGTCCAGGCACATGAAGGTGCCCGAAACGAGCTCCGGGTGGACGGGATGCGTGCGCACCACCTGGCCGGAAATGCGGATGAGGGTGCCAATCTTCGAAGTGGTCAGATCACGCACCTTGTGGCGCGTCGGCACCTCCGTGAAGGCCACATAGCAGTCCTTGTTCGTCTTGAGGCCGATGCGATCTTTTACGTAGTTGGATACCGACTGGCAGAGGAACGGGTAGACGTGGTAGTACTCCTCGATGATGGCCGTGGCTAGGTTCTGGTCGTACTTCTCCACATCTTCGAAGCTCACCTCGAGGGTGCAGCGATCGGGCGACTCCAGATTGGCGGCGGGACGTGTATACTTGATTTCGCCATCCTCCTTGAACTCTTCGAGGAAATCTTGAAATAGTTTCTGTGTGCGTATGCCCACCTCATCTTTGACGCGAAGCTGACCGATCTGTGCATCTGCAACATCCATGGTTCTACTCAAAACTTAGCTCTGTATTTGTGTAAACTAAATTCAAACGCAACAAATCTCAGATGCGATGCGATGATCACTAATGTTTACAGCTGCGAGTTTTTTTTTTTTTGCCAATTTTGGCGCCGTTTTCTGACAGCCTCGCTTTGGCATGCGCAATGAGTGGCAACGCCGCCAATTTCGTGCTATTACGCGCACGAGGCTGCCACAGAGTCGGCCAGACTATTCAATAGTACCGTCCCTAGGATTTAATTAATATTTTGGTATATTTCTGAGGGTTCAGGCGGTATATTATATCGACAAATCCGCGGTCACACTGTGGAGACGTCAAATTTATTGATTCTCTGATAAAAAAAACTGGGAAATATTGTGCAGCGCGGGGGGAGAGATCACGACTTTCGGTCAAATTGAAACGGAGGCCACATTACCTGCCCCAAGTACTTAATCTATCTTGCCACCACCTGCCCCCTTCCCGCCTACGATCCCACAGTCATTGGCCCTGTCCACCAGGGAAGATACCGAAAATGGTGGACGCTGCCAGACAAATGCTCGATGAGCTAATGGGCCGCAATCGGAACTTGCATCCTTCGGAGGCAGGACTCAAGGTGAACTGGGAGGATCCGGAGGTGAGTGTGCGCTGCCTGCAGCATTAGACTTTCCACTCGCATTCGTGCTATGGATGCGCCTCTTCGCTGCCGGCTACAATATCATATCCAGTCATCCCCGCTCATGTGTAATATATATATATGTATACATATGTATATGTATTTATATATGTGGTGGGGCCTGGCTGACCTTGCAGACGTTATTCCTTCTACATGTGTATTCATTGCAGTTTTGTCAGTTCTACAACGTAAAGTTCTGCCCGCACGATCTCTTCATCAACACACGTGCCGATCTCGGCCCCTGCGCCCGCATTCACGACGAGGAGGCCAAACATCTCTACGAGGAGGCGCGTCCTGCACGGAAGCGCCAGTACGAGGATGAGTTCCTTCGCTTCTGCAACGTGATGCTGCACGACGTGGACAGAAAGATCCAAAAGGGTAAGCAGCGTCTGCAGCTAATGCAGCGCGATCAGCCGCCGCCGTCGCTACAACTGAGCAAGCATCAGGACCAGTTGAACACTCTGAATGCCCGCATCAGCAAGCTGTTGGCGGAAGCCGAAGAGGCTGGCATCCGCGGTGATGTTGACCAGGCCCAAGATCTGATGACGCTCTGCGAGGAGGTCAAGGAGGAGAAGGAGCAACTGTTGCAGCAGTACGATGCCAGCCGAAAGGCAAACAGCAAGATGATTGCCCCGGACCCGACTAGTGCGGACGATCCCATGCCCAGTCCCGGGACAAGCTTCAGCGATGTCCCAGCGATCCATGACAGCACCCCAACCACAACCCCAAACCCAGCCGCCACTGATTTGGCCGACGAAGCAGCAGCAGCCGCGGCAATAGCAGTAGCAGCCTCCCCAACCGAAATGGTCCCAGAGGCAACTGGAAGTGGAGCAGGCCCAGGAGCAGATGGGGAGAACAAGTCAGACAATACAGACAACAAGTCGCAGTCAAATTGGTCGCACGAAGCCCTGCCCGAGAAACAGATGAAGGTGTGCGAGATCTGCGGCGCCTTTCTGATTGTGGGCGATGCTCAGCAGCGCATTGAAGACCATCTGATGGGAAAACAGCACCTGGGCTACTCTAAGGTGCGCAACGCGGTGGCAGAAATCAACGACGAGCGGCAGAAGGAGCGCGACCAGGAGCGCGAGCAGGAACGCGAGCAGGAGGAACGAAGACGGCGCGAGGGTCGGGGCCAGCGCTTTAACTCATACGACAATAGACGGTAACCAGATTCCGCACTGACTGTTCATCAGCCTGCCATAGTACTAACCATTATTCTGTTCTGTCTCTCTTTTCCGATGGCCATCCATCAGCGAGCCGCGCGACTATCGGGAGCGCAGTCGCGACTATGTCCAGAACCGCCAGACCTCAGACAGGCGACATCGTAAGTGAGCGAGCGGGGCTCTCACTCTGACTCGAACGGAGTCTGAGTCTCAGTGAAGCCTGGGAGCCTCGACGTCTTTGTATTTCTGGATCATCTGAATATTTTATTGCTTTCAGATCACCACAAGTCGCACCACGGCCACTCGTACTCGCGCAGTGGGAGCAACAGCAACAACAGCAACCGGAGCAGGCACCACAACCACAGCCACTATCGGCACGACAGCCGCGAGCGACACGGTCGCAGTCGCAGCCGCAGCCGCTACTAGAGACCAAAAACGTTGAGACGGTTAGCACTTAAGCTGAAACTCTAGGCCAGAAGCAGAAGAAGAAGAAGAAGATGCAGAAGCACACCAAAATCCGAGAAAACCAACACGAGCTCAGCAGTATCCGCGGTCCTTGTAGCTAACCCAATGTACCCAACGCATCCGCGCATCCACAGCAAGCACAAGCAAGCAATGTGCCCGAGTTTACGTCTCTTCCCCATTGCTGCTGCAGCCGAAATCGAAACTGAAACCGAAGAAGAAACACCACCATCGAGGTACCCCAAAAATAATTAACAAAATTTCAAGTAACATGTATCAGAACAGTAAAAAAGAAACAGATTCAGAGTGAATGAGAGTGAACTGAACTGGCAGGCGAGATCAGATCCTTGCCAGAGCAAGGCCAATGAGGTGAGTCGAACACTTGCTACTCCCGGTATCACCTACCGTACCGTACCGTACCACTTCACACCGTAGAAATACCACAAGCTCTATATTGTTTAAATATACATAAATGATTCCCGTGTACGCATACATACCAGAATAACTATGTAACTCTCCACTCTCCATTGTGAAACTGAACCAGAAACAAAGACCGCGCCAGACAGGCAGAATCCAAGTACGACATTTACACCATAGAAAGAGGAGCCTTGAGCACTGTTGTGATGAATTGTAAAGTCAGAACCGAACTGAGATGACATGTGAAGTATAGATTTAGCAGGATAGGGAAGGGAGAGAGAGAGAGAGAGAAACCGTCGAATATTTTCACTCTTGATTGAATGGGAATGGGAATTGTACAGAAACGGATGTTGAAATACTTGAGCTATCCCCCCCATATATTTGTTCATTCAATACTGGGAAGAGAGGATCATACATACATCAATGTAGATGTGCATACATATCTACAGTTGCGGTCAAAATAATAGTAGTGCTACCGAAAATTATGAAATCTACAGAATTTTATGCAAAACTTTTGTTTTTAAACAAAACATGAATGGTTTATTTAACAGTTTCAAGCTTTTTTAGTTTCGTTTTTGGTCATTTGGTACCGGTGTCGTGGGGCGTGGCAAACACTCTAGGGCGGAGAAAGCTTCGTGCTTAAAGGACTCGTTTCAGTAGGAAAGTAATATTTCGAGATGATAATCACTATTGGTTGTTTAGCTATTATGATCAGAAATGATAATAAATAAGAACCATAAAGCAAAACACGCGATCAAAGAAGTTATTCGACAAAATATCAGTAGACCAACCATTACGACAGGTGAGGTGCGACCATTTTGCTCCTGCTGCAGCATTAAAAAAATGTTTAATTTTGAAACTAGTACCGAAACCATTAGAAGAAGCGATTAAGATTTTAATATAATGACACGAAGCCATAGGAAAAAATGTTTACTGTGGAATACCCAAATTGACCAGTGTAAAAGTGGAAGAATATTTTATATTCGAACTAGTTTAAAATTGTTTTGTTTTTTGTAGCCTGGTATCTCGTTAGTATCTAAGACAACCACGGTTTTCTGAAAACTGCTTCCGTAAACAATGTTTTGGGCGAGATTTTCCAGATACGGAATTCGACCATTATGTGTGTTAAAAACATATTGGATCGTCATTTATACATTCAAATATCGACCGAAATTATTCTACCTTATGCGTCTGAGGATATGCAACTAATTTGGACGTCCGAGGAGAAAAAAGATCCGAAGGACAGCCGCAAAGTTGCCAAAGAGTGGTTCGCTGCCAATACAGTAAATTTATTGGAGTGAATCTCAGTCTAATAGAGAATTTATGATGTTATACATATGAGAGCAAAAGTCTAATAAATAACACAATCAGCTTTGGGACGTTTTACAAAGGTCCTGGAGGACGATTTCTGTAGAAAGATAGCAAAATTGAGTTAGCTCCATGCCAAAGCGTCGTGCAGACGATAGAGCTAACATAGGCTACTCAAATAAAGCTTAAAGCTAACTGCGAATATACAGTTGTTATATTGGGTATAAAGAACATTCTTAGACAATTTTTTTTAGACCGTAGTCTTGCATTTTGGAGGTACTTAAACATTTTAATTTTTTTCTAAAAATGTTGATGGCTTATTCAGAGTTGTTTTCTATTATTACAATTTGCAATTAAGGTAGTCTCTAAAAGATCTAAAATTATTACGGGGAAGTGCTCGTAATTCCTTTTTTTGGGATATATGAAAAGTCATATTGGCACTACTATTATTTTGACAACAGCTGTACGTATGTACATGTATATAGAAGTAGGGAGTAAGATGAGGTGTGAATATTTCGTTTTATAGATTAATTGAAAATGGAGATAAACATCAAACTCTATCCCCACGAATAGATTATATTGACTGGGATTGGCCATGGTGATCATCTATCTGCCAGATCGTACGTGTGTACATAAATGTATCTACTCATAGAATAAATGAAAAACAGGACTACGTTGCACTGCTTTATTAGAGAATAGGTTAAGGATTTAGTTAGCTGAGAGGGCGGGCATCTGTTTGTAGCGGACAGTACGAGCAATCTCTATGCATATGTATGTACCTACATATGTACATACATACATATGTGTGACTGAAAGAGTGCTCGCCAGACAGATACAAAATGTACATACAAATATTTAGGATGTTTGGCTGACTTTTGGCCGAAACCAAAACAGTAACTGAAACAGGTATTTACAAAGTCATTCCGTTATCTCTACTTTGCGCTTAACTAACCCAACAGATACAGATTCACTCACCCACCCACGCATCTCATGCAATCCCCACTCCACCGCAAACACTCGCACACACACACACACAACACACACACACACACACACACAACCATATGAATGTTTATACATATTATATATATATATGTATACATATAAATATATGTATATATATTGAGAAACGGATTGCATGTGCTAGAGCTGAATATGGAGCATTGTGTGGGTCGTCGTCCCTCGGAGGTATGTAGTCGTAGTCCCCTTCCCGAGAGCAGGAGACGCACAAGCAGATTAATGAGAGACCGAACATTCCTGGACATTTATGTGTGCCCTTGATGCCCTTTCCTGTATTCGTATTTGAACCGGAACCGAAACCGAAACCGAGCCCGAAGCTGAAACAGAACCCTTTGAGATGATTCGATACCATTCGATTCGATTCCATTGCATTCCATCCTTCTACTTAAATATTATCGCATGTTCACATCCAATTGGAAAGGGTACTCGAGAGAATACTTCGGCTTGCCGTCGTATGTATGTATGTATGTATGTATCTATTTACGTACTTAGCGCCTGATGCTTCATGTTTGTTCTTCCCTTAATGCCGCCGTTGTGCTTGTGCTCTCCATACCAAAGAGTGCAGCTAATCCAAGAGCCCTAATCCATCCGCCCCTGGTTCCACATACATACTTATACCCAAGGTATCCATCCCCAAGAAAAGTATTCCCTCCAAAAGGGTGGAATCTTTAGAAGAACACCAACACACGAGGTAATTGCACTGACGAATCACATCAAATCACATCAAATCAAATCAAATGCAAATCAATATGAAAATGAAAATCTAATGAATCAATCAATGAAGCGTGCCCCAATGCGTGCGATGGTAGGCAGAGGGAGACAGCGAACAGTGCAGAGCGACAGCGACAGCGACAGAGACAGAAACAGAGCAGGAGAAAGGGAAAGCAAACATCCTCTATGTGTACCATATCCAGAGTGCCATATACATATGTTATCGTATATACATGTGTTTGTATGTATGTATGTATCGTATGCTCAAGTTTCCCCCCACACTCATCCACAGGTAAATTGTGACTGACCCTAGACCTTGATAATATACATATGTACCTACCTACCTACCTACATAAGTAATACTTAATGTGCTAATAAGCCCTTGACCAGTGAATAATTGCAAAAGATATCCAAGTGTACAACTATATGTGTGTGTGTGTGTGTGTGCGTGTACGTGATCAGAAAATACCCCACAAACCACTTCCTCCCCCCATAGCTGTAAAGCCTTCAGAGTTGCATTATTTTTTTCCGTCCCGATACACACACACACACACAAACATTACATATCTATAAAATTATATGGATATACATATGTATGTCATAAAAACCTGATCAACTGATCACCAATCCAATTGTCCAATCTACAACCCTCTTTCTATCAATCGCCGATCAAATGCTCACTCCGACTCACACAACTCTTTCTCAAACATTCCAGGAGCCGGAGGAACATTCGGAATACTCTGGATCTGGATCTGGCTTTGGATATGGATCTGGGGTCAAGAAAGAGAGAGAGAGAGAGAGAGAAAGAAAAAGTGAAAGAGAGAGATATATATAGATAGAAAGAAGAACCCACCAGGTAACTTCTATGCCACACCTCCCCCACATAAATGTTTCTTCACGACAGACAAGGCCGCGCGTCGCTCCATCTACAAATTGAATTGGATGCAATCCACGATCAACTCTCCACCATTCTCTGATACCGGAAGAGAGGGACACGCGTAGAACATTATTAGGCATGTGACATACGAGGTGAATTTCTATTTGTCTCATCTATAACTATATATAGCCCTCGACTCTGACCCCCGTTCACTGATCCCTACCACGCATCTTCCACAATATCAGCGTCCCTGCCTATAGGGTGCACACTTTAACTCTTAATTCAAAAAATATATAAATGATATGTACATAACGACTAGCCTTCACAGGCGGAACCAGAACCCCATGACCCATGATCTACTATGGAGTGAGTCCATAGGCTTAAAGCCCTTTCCCCTCCGACCTGCCCGATCTGGTGCGCTTGTGAATGCTGGAGCGCCTTTCCCAACTAACTCCTTTTCCCCATTTTGGTTACGACCATTTTGCAAACTAATCAATTCAATTGAATCCCCATCTCTCCGTGGCTAAGCGCATCCCTATTCCTGTCCCTAGAGGAAAGATCGAGTTTGAGGACAATTATGTAGAGCCTAACGAATCAATAATTATTTATCTATCTATCTATCGATCGAACGCCTGTAGTCATGTAAAGATGTTTTTAAGTATGATTTACGTATGCTATGAGTAAGGATACAACATTCTAAATAGTGAGACTCGCAATAATTTTCTAATAAAGATCAAAACGAATCCCCAATCTGTTGTTTTCTTTTCGTTCACCCATTTCTAGGTTTTCACCGAATCCAATGACAGCTTACTTTTTTTTAACAATATATTTGATGTATATTTATTTATGTATATATGTACATACATATACGTGGTGGACTTAATGTTAATAATAATAGTCATATTTATAAATTTGTTTGCCATTTTTTACTGTATGTATTTGCTATATATTTTTAACATCTACAATATACGTACGCATGTATCTATTTCTATTAATGCACACCGATCATCAGCTGGAGGAGTGTACATATGCATGTAAGTGTATGGTGTATGGAAACATGAACAGCTGTACGGCTCACATATTTACAGGTCCATTCGTAAACTTCATAGAGCTTTGAAATTTCGAATTGAAGAAAGTTTCGCATTCGCAGCAAGCTATCGAATATCTTATGTTGCATATGTACAGTCAATTATGGTAGTACTTCACCAGACTTCAGGCTAAAGCAGCTTAGGGGAAAAGCAGACAGAGTGAGCGAGAGAAATTTGTGATCTGGTTTGGCTTTCGAGTCGAACTGACTTGAGGGGCTGCTTTAGGGAATGCGGGATGAAATTGAGTTCCCACTTAATAACTCACTGAATTGAATTTTCCTATAAAATACAGTTTGTTCTTGAATACAACGCCGGCTATCGAGTAGAGCACATAAATGCATGCAGAAGGAATCGTTGTCAAGGACACCCTGTGCCACCTAAAGATATTATTGGACTTCCAACACATGTACATACATATATAGTATAGTATCGAGGATATTTTTACAAAATGTCTTTTAGGATACCAAACAAAACGAACCAAACGCAACGAAATGGTATTAAAAAAAAATTGATTTTATTACCAAATAATAAGATTGATCATAATAATATAATATGCATACAAAATGGTATAATAATAAGATTGATAAAAAATATTTGTTTGGGGGCGCAGGATTGGAAACTTTATGAATTATCTGTGTATGTTGTTATTTTTACGAAAAAATATCGAATGAGTTCTGTACAAATTATTGCCTTGATTTTGCGCGTATCTACAGTTTTTTTCACTTTGCTCTCTAAATTCTTGTTCTGAAAAATTTGTTCAATTTTCAACTTTCAACTTAATCTTTACCCTACATCCATTTAAATCCTCTTCGAAAGGCTATGCGCTGATTAAATGTTCAGTTTTCTTTTGAGTTTCTAGGAAATTGTACAGTTGTCCTCAAAGTAGTCCAGGGGTAAGAGTGCGGCAGTTTTGGACAATGTGTTGCCCAGCCCTGGCTGGAAACGAGTGTGCCAGTGTTAGGCAGTGTTCAAGCACTGGCCAGAGTTCGACTAATACCTAAAGAGTAGTAGCAAGGAGCAGGACAGGGCGTAGGGCGTGAGTGTGTCTTTATGTGCATGTGTGAGAGCTTCCGGGCCTTCCAGCCTAGCACCATCCATCCATCCATCTAGATTGCGGGCAGCTCCTCCTCCTGAGTGAGACACCGGAGACTGCCCCGGTCCGGGCTGGTCCGCTGCTAGTGACAGTGCTCAGTCACATCCACGATGACGGACTTCTTCCAGCAGAAGAGGAAGTAGCCCACTGCCGCGCCCAGCACCACCATCAGGCAAAGCCAGACGTTGTAGGTCATGAAGATCAGCATGAGCAGGAAGGAGAGCGTCACCTGCAGGATGTGAAGCAGCGTTTGGTACAGATGGTTGACCGAAAGCATCGAGGGTCTATGGAAGGGATAGTCGCAGTTAGATATCACATCAAAATGGAAGGACAAAAGATGAAAAGAAGCTCAGGATGACAGGCAAGAACTGAAACAGAAACAGAAACGAAAACAAAACGGAACGGAATAGCACAGAACGGAACAGAAAGGGGATCGATATTCGAGCGGGTTCAGTTCAGTTCGTCCTTCGATGTGTCGTTGTTCAGCTAATCTACACTAGACTAGGGTTAGGACTACGTTTAAGGCTGGCCTCCTATCGTACATTCTAATTTTACTGTGTGTGCACTTTACTGGTGTATGTGTCATACGTATTTACATATTACAGTCTGGCACAATCTGTGGCAGACGTGTCACCCAATACGGGTGGGCTTAATCAACTGGGATGGAAACAGGTGTGTCCGCTCGTTCGGTTAGCCATCGTTGCACTTCTGATGAAGTGCTGGCGATCGACAATCGGACAGACGTAGACGTCTGAGTCAGCCCCAGGCGTGAAATGTGTAAACATATGTAGCTCTGGGTAATACGATACATAATAAACTTAAGATGGTAGAATTAAATAATTATAGAAATTGCACTGGAAAAGGGCTGAAACAGCGATACTTACGGTTGCTTGTGCACAACTTCGCCAACGTATCTAAAAGATCGATTGAAGCGTGTCACAGTTGCAGATTCGTATTCGGATTCGGATTCGGGTTCGCGGATCAAGTAAACAGATGCAGGTACGGATACAGATACAGGTACAGTTACAGATTTGGAATACAATATATCACAGTTCAATCAGCGATTACGTTTAATGGGAAAGCGGTCGGAATGAGCGTGTTTGGCGGATTGAATTTACAAATGGAGAACGGCGGCGCGTGGTGCGGTACGGATAATGGTGATGTGTGGATGTGGTTGCGGATGCGGATGATGGTACCCACAAGAGCGGGAGCAAAACGGTAACCGTTTACGGGTTTAACGGTAACGGTAACGATAACGGCAACGAAAACAAAAACGAGAAAGAAGAAGAAAGCATTAAAATTAATATTTACAACAAGTACAAGAACAGAGGCCACAAAGCAGGGCACAAAGATCAAGCATGCGATAACCATTGGAAGACCGCTTTCGCGGGGGTATTCCCGGGAGAGACAAATATATGTACAGAACAGGCAGCGGAACACGGAAGCCAATCTCGGGATTGTACTCACTGTACTGGGGATGGGGCAGCCGCCGCTGCGGAGGGCAGGTGCGGTGCCTCCGGATTGTGCTGGGGACCCTTCACCGGGCGGTACTCGAGCAGGTTATACGTCTTCCAGAACAGATACTCGCGGTAGTACTTGAGCCCCTCGTACAGCAGGGCCAGCAGGAAGATGGCGATCATCGACCCAATCAGACCGGCCACCGTATCGATGTGCCACCAAGAGAAGAGGATCGTCTCGTTGTAGCCAAAGTGGAACTATCCCCAAGCAGATCAAGAGGGAGATCAATCGGGGTTTCAAGCCACATCACGGGATGCGTTGCTTACCGCCATGGACATCATATGCTCCATGCCAGTGCCCGTGCCCCCACCGCCGCCGCTGTGATGGTGTCCCGCATGCATGTCGTGGCTCGTGGGATCGGTGCTGGTGGTGGTGGTGGGGCTGATGCTGTCCATCCCGCTGTGGTCGTGGTGCATGCCAGCGTGGTCGTGGTGCATGGAATGATCTGTTCGAACAAGCGATTACATTAACATTTCACCGCTTTGGGTTTCCCCCTATCCCCGAGTACTTACCAACGTTGGGCGAACTGTGATGGGCGTGGTCCATTTTTTCTGTGGCTCTGATCGTGGATTATCGTTGATCTGCGCTTATTGCCTGCGGTGCCGGAGAGAAAGTTGCGTACCTGAATTATTTTGCCATTAAAACTGATTCGACACGACACGTGTTTGTCGACCCAACCCAAATCGCATTCACTCAGATTTCAATTAGAAAGACAATCTCTTGTTAGCGACTGCCTCCCTTTCCCATTTCCATTTCCATTCCCTTTCCCATTCCCATTCACCCGTCGACTTCTTTTGTGTGGGACTCGAATGCGATGCGAAATGGAAATGTCTGGCATAACTCCACGTACATACCTCCCAACGGGAGATGGAGGGTGGTTCAGCTTTGGCCGAGTTATTTTTGACCTTGCTCCGAGACCCCCTTCGAAACAACCATATCGGAAGATGAAGATAGACAGAGATAGAGAGAATTCTATACCTGCTCACCGCTTGGCAGGCTCTTTTAGCTCCAGACGTTTCTTGAGTCCGTCCGGCCAACGTATCGAAGGGCTTATGCTCTGGTTCTGAAATGGTAGCACGCAACAGAAACAGACACAGGCACAGAAATTCTCGACTCGTTGCTCTTTTTATTTCGTTTACGCGTATTTTGCATTGCGGTTCACCCCATTATTCGGCTGCCTGTGTTTCTGGGCCTGCGTCTGCGGTCTGCTGTGCCTCCATATCGGAGCAGCAGAAGCAAAAGCAGCAACTATGATAAGGCTTAGCCCTTCCGCAATCAGTAAAAAATTAAAAATGTTCCAGGCCACCGCAGACATGGGAAACTATCTGATTGGAATGATGACAATGCCGGGAGTGTAAGTTTACCGCAAATTTGGCTGATATCGAGCGCGAAGGAAGTGGTGGTTGCAATCAAAGCTCCATGCTATTACACTCGAAGTGGGTACCGTTGAAAAACCCAGATCTGGGAACTTGCAGGCCATACATACATAATACATACATATGTAGACTGTAAGATTCTGGGAAAATGACAGCCACGTACTTAGACAACTTGCTCTCCATCTATCTCTCTCGCTCATGCTTTTATAATTGGATTGTAGACGAGTGTAAGGAGTGATTAAATGGGGAAAACCCGTTCAAATCTCATCTTAAATATGGAGATTCTTAGGTCTCGCGCACACTGTAGTCGTAACATTGTAAAATCTCAGAAAGAAGCAAACTCACTGCACTTGTACAAGTGCGCACATTGCTGACTTAGCTGTGCTGACAAGTTTGAGAGCTAGGCCAGATCCGTTCAGCTTTGTTTGATCGATTAAGCATGTTTGTTTTTATCAGCAAGCCGAGTGCTGATATCTACCATCAATATCTACGTTACTAGGGCCGCGATATGATGTAGTGGTCCGATCCTCATCCCCAGATCATTTTTCAACTCAGCCGACAGTGTGCACACCCAAGTTTCGGCTCCTCTTTCAGCTTCCCTTTCAGCTAAAGTGCGCGCGAGGCCTCACTGGGAAAATCTCAATGGAGCATAATTGAACTGACAATTGCACTTTGGAGGACGGTGAGGGCAATGAATGCTATGATTTTGCTTTGAGCATCTGTATGTGATATGTTTGGGAATGCTGGACGGAGGCTAGCCTTGGAATGTCGTGGTCCGCTGACCGGCCCAACTGGTTGGATTGGATTGTATCGTTTGGTTTGGTTTGCTTTCGATTTGGCCCAGACAAAGACTGCAAAATGAAAGGGAAATTGAGTGTCATAGAGAGAAAGAGAGCTTTAACGGTATTTTTAGAGAGGGATAACGAAATCAGCGCACTCCAAAAGAGTGCAGCTCCACAACAATTGGTTACTTGAATTTCCACAATAGTTCGTAGAGCTTCGCTTTGTCGGGGTCCAACTCCATAGATATTGGAATAGGTTTAATAAACATAGACAGAGGTGGAGACGGGTGAAACCGGTTCCTTATTCCCTCGCAGACTCTCGCTGTCAAGTACATACATATGTACATATGTATGTATCTCTTCCATACCCAGGAATTATCATCGTTGCGTCAGCTGATGGCAGAGTAAATTAATGAATGTTGCAAGACTTCCCGACAGTCACACAAACTTACATACATTTTTTCATTTCCATATCATAAAACCAAGCACAACACAACACACACACACACATACACATTTGATCTCTTGTACCGTTGCAATCGCTTTGCGAAATGTCATGGAATCGAGCATAAAGATAAAACGAGACAGAGACAAGGCAATAGAGAGCGAGGCATGCAGAGACAGCAGCTACGGCGATTATTTTCGGTTGATGCAAATGGAGCAGCAGGGAAATGGGAAACGAGAAAGAGGAGGGCAAGAATGTTATGTCAGAGCGAGTTGCGATCTAAAATTTAAATCAATCAAAAGAAACGAAGAAATCACAAGCGCACGCATGCGTGTGTAGTTTTACGCATAACGGTTCAATGGCGAATCACTGATAAGTGATCGCAGCACTGATAATCGTAATCGGCATGCAAACGTTTCGTTCCGTCTTTGATTATCGATAAGAGCTTTGCTGTAATTGTAACTGTAGTTGTGGGCGCTATACTTACAGCAGCTGGTATGAAATTCTGGATGTTGTTTTAATGCTGCCAATTCTGCGAGAAAGCCGGCAACAACGTACCGATTCAGCGGAATGTGTGGCTAAAACAATATCAACAATTAAAAAATCCACAAACCACAGTCTTTGTCAGCAAAATGTGTGAGGAAAGACCCCGCACGAGATTAGTGCAGCAACTGTTCAGTAAATTTCCAGCAGCATGCACATATCATTTTATCGTTCAACATAAATATTATAGACATATGTATGTGTGTACATATGCTTAGCTTTAAATTCCAGTGGGTGGGAGAGCCTCCCTTGGAATAGTAGCACAGGCAATAGCCCCCCCCGTAGCCATCACATAAAGTGGTCCGGCTGCATCACGATTTCCACTAGTTGACAACGCCCCCGTTGGCCTCTGCGACAACATCCATCTAGTTACGATAATTATTAAATAAACGCGAGCTATTTCCACGAATACAGCTTCATTTTTGTGTTATTTAATCACACATGTGCGTGTGAGCACATTGCCGTTGTATGCGTATCGATGGATTAAGAATTGTTTGCACATTATCAAGCTGCTGCAATTGTCCAGCTCTTTTGTTTATTCTACTGTAATGGCTTACTTGTTGTCTTTGCCGTTTTGATAAAACAATATACGCACGACGTCCGCCCGCAGACAACTTGTTCGTACGATTGTTGATAAATTAATTGAAAACATATGTTTTATTATTCAAAACCGCGATACTTACTGCACAAAATGGCACTAAAAAATGACACACAAAGATCTGCAATGGGTACATTTAATGTTAGAAATAAACCCATTGAAAAAGGAATTGCCAATTGTGTTCAATTGCATCATCAACACGGTTATTTGTTGGTTTAATAGTAAACTTTAAATAAATTAATAGATAAAATAGTTGCAGTCGAAGTGTGACCAGTCCGCTGTCTCGATCTATCGATATATCAGCACTATCGTGGCTCCTTCCATCACCAGCGACTAGCGGGGCGAATGTTTTTGCGTAGTAAATTAACGAAAACGTTGTTATTGGCAAAGCAGGTGTGAATAACAAACACATTTACTCTTTATCTTACATATCATTATTCTTCTAATACTTTTTCAGGCCTTTCGCACTCCTTATTCAGCCCTTAGCATCCGTTCCTGTCCATACGAGCAGGCAATAACAAAAACACGTGCAGGCTAGAACGAAATCAAAACAAATATCTATTTCGCCTTTCGCACTACAAAAAGTGAATAAAACAGCCTCAATATGGGAATGGTAACGAAGCGTAAGAAGATGCACTATGGCGATACGCACCTGCAGCGTCGCTGGCGCGTCCGCAACCGCCGCCGCGATCTGGACCAGATTGATGACGATCTGCGCACCCGCAGCGGCGAGCTAATCAATCAAAACGTGGACCTGGAGAAGCCCGGCTTTGCCCAGTTTTACTGTGTGCACTGCGCCAAGTACTTCATCGATGACACAGCCATGCAGGCGCACTTTCGCACCAAAGTTCACAAGCGCCGCCTCAAGGCCCTTGAAATAGAGCCGTACAGCATCGAGGAGTCGGAGCGTGCCGCTGGACGTGGCAGCTTTCAGAAGGCCAAGAAGCGGGGCATGGAAACACAGCCCACAAAGGAGGAGGTCATCGCCGGCAAACGCATCAAAGTTGAGGAGAAACTTGAAACCACAGACGCCGATTCGACACCAGGCACAAATCCGGACAGGGCGACGCGCAGCAGACCCCAAAAGATGGAAACTTAGCAAACCTAAGAAGCTGTTGACGAAATGTAATAAATATGAGCACTTGGAAACGCGACATTAAATATAACCCAACTGGGATGATCCGCCCCCTAAATGGTAGTTACAATTGTTGAGCGGTAAAATTTCATCGTATAAATATATTCTCTTCTTTATATATATATATATGTATGTACATATGTATAGGGTGCTTGATATACATAGATGGAGGGGTAATCTATAACTTTTCGAACTATGCAACAAAATATACATATAGAGTACAGAGTTCATGCCAAATCCAAATGAGGGGGGTTGCGTGAGCATCCTTCTGGAGGCTGGATGCTGTCGCTGTTGATCACGGGGAGGGGTGCGTTGCAAATACTCTGCTACCACATATATGTATTTGTGTATAAACTTTATATTCTATTTATTGTATTCCTTTAAAATATTTCACTTTTATCATTTCCTTTTCAATTTTTGGTATTCCTTTCCTATTGTTCATGGTTAACACTTTGCTATAAATATATATATATATGTGTGTATGTGTGTGTGTGTGTGTGTGTGTGTGTATGTATAGTATGCATGCTTTCTTTTTGGTTTCCTTTGTTTGAGTTTGAGTTGAGTATATGATAGACGGCTTTTCAAATTCAAATGAGAAGCAAATTTGAGGTAAGTATATGTGGCCGGGTCGGCGGATGTGGGGCTGAGCTAAGGTGCTTGTTGCGTTGGATGCGCGCCCTGGACAGCGAACAAGCTGAGATGATTGCTGTATGTACAGATATTGTATGGTGCGTGATAAGGAGGGGGTGTATAGGCTATATACAATGTACAGGCAACGACTAGCTTTACAGCTTGTTGAGCACCGTCTGGAGCTCCTCCAGTTTGGCGGGATACAGCAGCTGTTGCTCTATCTCTAGCTGCTGCAGCGGCTGTATGCCCATTGAGACGGCTCTATTGGTGAAACGGCGACGCGTCATCTGCCTGGCGGAAGCAGTTCGGGCCTTGCGCGGCGTGCTGGCGACTTGCTGATCCCCACCCGACTGGAAATTCTGACCCTGTCCCTGGCAGCTGAAGAAGGAATGCTGCAGGGCCTCGGAGGCGGTGATGCGCTTGTGCGGATTGACCTCGAGGAGGCGCTCCAGCAGGTCGTAGGCGGAGGCCGGGAAGACCTCGTAGGGCTCCAGCGGTTCGGTCAGGTAGTCACTCTCCTCGCACAGGCAGTTGAAGAAGTACTGGTCGCAGTTCTTGCAGACCTCGCACTGCCCGTCGGGGGCTTCGTACTTCTTTAGCATCTTGGCATCGCTGAAGATGGCTCGGTTGCGAAAGCGCAGGCACAGCTTGCGTAAATTTAGCGGACGGCAACGCTGGCTGAGGGTGACCATGCGCTCGAGTGCCAAGGCCGTCTTGCGTATTTCTTGGTCGCCGAAGATGGTGACTATCTCGGCCAGGGCTATGTAGTCGTTGGGCGCCTTGAAAAACGGATAAACCGATGACATTAGCGAGAGGAAGATCACGCCGACGGACCACACATCCACGGCCGTGGTCTGGTCCGCGTACTTGAGCAGCACCTCGGGTGGACGGTAGCCAGGGGTGCCAGCCCGCGAAGCGTGCACCTCCTTCTTCATTAGGCAGTTGAGGCACACCGACGGGTTGGCGAAGCAGAAGCACTTGGCGCTGTTCGTGGATCCAGTGGCGCTTCGGTTTGTGTTGTACTTGCTGCCGGTGCCCGCGACTGTGCCTGTGCCCGTGCCCGTGGCAGAGCTTGGTGTCTGTTCAGGCTGCATGTGCTGCTGTTGCTGGTTGGTGTGCTGTGTGGACAGCTGTGCCTCTGGTGCCTGAGAGACAACCTCTTTCGACTCGTTCTGGGCATGGGCAATCTCGTTGACCGGCTTGAGCGGCATCTTGCCCCAGCCGCCCTCCTCGTTCAGCCGCATGCGTTTGACTGCTCCCCCCAGGCCAGCATCGACTGCGGCCACCGCTGCAGCGCCAGCAGCAGCAGCAGCTGTTGTCTGCAGTGCCTCCGTCTCCCTGTCTCTAAAGCGCTTGCTGTTTGGACCACCAGCCCCTCCAGGGTGGCGGTTGCGCTGCTCCAGCTGTCCTGCGGCCGTGCCCGTGGCCGAGACCGCAGGATTGACATGTTGGGCCAGCCCAAAGTCCACCAGAAGGAACTCGCGGCGACGCCGGTTGTACAAGAAGTTGCTAGGCTTTACGTCCCGGTGGATGACGTTGAACTTGTGGACGTGGCGCAGTGCCACCAGCAGGTTGCGCATGTACAGCCGGATCTCCGCCACGTCCATTTTGGTGTAGAAGTCATGGAATCGGTCGTGTGGCATGTAGGGCATCACGAAGGCTGCTGAGGCGTCACATCGCATGCAGCAGTGGATTCCGACGACGTTGTCCATTCCGCTGTCAATGAAAAAGAGGGAGATGGCAGTAGATTAGGGACTATATCCAATATATCGCTCCATCTGCTCTAGCACACCCTTGACTCTGCTCTGCATCTGTTTGCATGCAAATAACAAAACAAAAACGCCCACACAACCTTCCCAAACAAACACAAACACTCTCTCCCTCTCCCACTCTCTCTCTCTCTCAGTGTGCGTTGCCTGTCGGTGGAAGCGCGTCGACGTCACACAGCGATGAGCGATGGGAATACGCGAGCAAACGGCATGACTAGTCATAATTATCGTCGTTGTGACGCAATTGGGGCTAAGGAATTTGCGCAAATTACTTGAATAGACAAAAATCGCCGTGGGTCGGCTGCTTAGGAAGGAAAATGAGGAGGAGGCAGGCAGCCGGCTAATGTCATGCACGTACATGTGTATGTACATATGTAGCCGGCCGTACAGCGTTTGGAGTCATCGCAACGGACACTGGCCGTCCACCCACGCGACCACTTTGACTCGGCCCTCTTGTGCACACTATCAACTAGTGCGCTCTCAATGAGCGGTATGGGTATTGGTATTGGGTCAGCGTCAGCTCACCCGACCATCCCCAGTCCCAGCCGTCGACGAGATACCCTTGCGCCAGTCGGTTCGAACCGGTATGGAACGGATTGGGTATGCGTCGGGCCTTTAGCCATCGAAACGTTAGGTCTAATCTAATCTCAAAGCAGCAGCAGCTGCTGCTGCCGCTGCTCGCAATGGCTATTGAATCAATAATCGGTTGCTGGGAGTCTAGGATATGCAAATGTTCCCATCAATTTAATTGATTCACAATTTTTGTCCATTGCACGAGCCAACGAGAGCAACGGCTAGAGCGATGGCGATGGCGAGGGCAGGGCAAGACCGAGACGGACGGACAAACAGACAGAGTGCCCAGCACTGTAACTGTAAGTGAGCACGTGAATGGTGTGTGAAAGTGCAATAAACGTTCATTCGTTTCGTTTCGTTTCGTCTCTCGCCCGTTCGTTCGGGCTGCCAACTTAAATAAATTGCAATGACGTAGATTGCGAAGCGACGGCTGGCGGTTACCGGCTGACGTCGATTACCGACGTCTGACGCAAGCGAGGACGAAAACGAACACCAACCCACCACACTGGGTGGCAGGGCCAGCCAGGGCTAGGGACATTATACCTATATATCCCACCCCCCCATATGTGGATACAACGTGGGTGTTGAGTGGGTGGGTAGGTAGTGTGTGTGTGTGTGTTTGTGGCGGTGAGGCAATTCTGCTGGGACCTACCCCATTTTGGTCATGCACTGGAGCTCCTTCATAATCCGGTCGGGATGGCTGGTGGGTATGTGGTGCTTGATGGCGAACTTGCGCCGCATGCTTTCCGGCAGATTCGCCTCTCGCTTGAGCGTGGCCAGCAGAACGGTGCTGAAGGTGCCGTTGCCAATCCGGCTCTGTACGTCAAACAGGTGGCCGACGTCCGGGATGCGCGTCAGCAAGTCAGTAATGGCATCTGTGGGGGAGAGAGAAACAAGAGTGGGGATTTTTAATCCAGGCCCACACACATTCTACAGGTCCCACTCATTTACACGTCGCCAACGCCCGCACCACACCGGGAGGAGGCTGTGCCCGAAAATAGATTCGGAAATGCGCACTAAAGCTCTCCCAAGCAACCGAGAGCAACCCCACAAAAATTATGGCAAAGAGACAGCTCCGCCGTACATACCTTCGCTTTTGTTTCGCAGCTTCATCAATCTGACGCCAGTGGCCATATCGAGTTCCGCTCTCGATGTCGGTGCGGCTTCAGCTGCAACTACGGCTCCCCCTACAGCTCCTGCTTTCTCTGCAGACGGCAATTGCTGCTCCACCACGGGCGCTCCGTTTTGCTCCACAGTGGGCTGCGTGGAGCTGTGCTGCTCCACAAGGGGCTGGGTGGGGACAGATTTCACGGCTAGCCCGCTATCATTACTGTTGGCGTTGTGGCTGAGCTGCTTCTGCAGTTTTGTCACTGGGTTTCTGACTCTAGCCGGCGTATCCAGGCGAGCCGCCTGCCTGGCGTGAATACCAATTCCGGCGCCACTGCTAACCAGGACGATGGGACTGGTACCCGAGTAAAACTGGATTGTGTTCTGCTTTGATTTGCGGTTATGCTGGACATGCTGCGCGTGCTGTACATGCTGCTGGTGCACGGCCATCGGCTCGTGCTTGATGAAGCGCTCCGCCATTGCAGGGTTTAACTACTGGGTCTGTGGCTGTACTGGGCTGGGTTGGGGGGAGTACCTTATTGTGGCAATAGTGGGCTGCTGCTGTTGCTGTTCATCGACTTAGTCCATCGGGCTGCGGGATGAGACGAGCTTTTTCGCAAAGAGCCCTCCCAGAGAGTGTGTGTATGTGTTCGACGCGTGCGTGTATGCTTGGGGGATTGCGACGTCCAGCGCTGCCGTTTTTCAAGTATTTTCCAGTGTCTAGTGTTTTGGTGTCTAGAGAAGGAATCTCTCGGTTGTGCTCCAAATATTTGTGTACTGAAAATTTTGTTCGAGAATTAAAACGGTTCGGGCCTAGTGGGTGCTCTACTACTCTAATGTGTTTCTGTGCACACAATAAATTTTTGACCGAATTGTCGAGAGCTTCAATTGCAACTGACATGTCTCGTGCCGCCTGCCGTGCGGCACAATTTTGTTGGACCTACTTACTTGTCTCGTCTCTGGATGTGCTTCAGTTTCAGCTTCCGATTGTTGTCGTCCCCGTCCCCGGCTCGGGCTGCCGCCTGGGCCACCCTTCGTTCACTGCCCACTCTTCTTCAGCGGTGGCGTCTCGCCCGTGACGTTTGCGACTTGGTGGTGTTTGGCTTTGGCCGATTTTCAGCGTTTGCGAGACTGGAAACATCTACTGAGGCCGCACTTTGTCTATTATCTAATTAATTTGCGCAGCGTTGGCGGCAACGCAACGTTCCCGTCCGGCTTTCGTTTTTAGGTATTTTCTGCGGTGGCACCGAGCAGAATTTGCTTGCATTTGCATTTCGCACTTATCGGCTATCGATAGGCACCAGGCGCGCCAGCTGATGCTGATATCGATTATGTTGACGAAACGGGACTGCCAACGAGCTGTAAATATAAACCATCCGAATATTCGAAAATATACATATATTTAAACTGGAATTTCAACTTGGATTACATGGATATACATATTGTGGACTACGGGATACTCTCGCCAATCAGGCGGCTAAAAGAGTGGGCTACATTAAGGAGACCTTACGCAACATAAAATTATAAATTTGGATACAATAATTAAAACGAAAGAAAGCAAAACGACACATAGTATTTGTATATAGATCAGCGTTCGGCGTGGGTGTGGCGACCGCTGTATTCCTCGCGCAGCAAGGGCAGGCCAATGGTGTAGGTGGCACTACTGGCGTTGACCGATTGGTTCGCGTCTGTGCAGCGGACACAAGGCCCAAAGAGACGCAGAATGCGCGAGCCCATGGAAGTTCTCTTGTGCCGGAGCTGCACGTGGGACTGGTCCAGGAGGTTTCTTTCGCTGGTTCCGGATTCATCTGGATTGGAGCTCATATTCTGACTTATATTAATAGACCGAACCTCGATGACGCGATTGTTGCGATTATCGAAATAGTAGATGCCGTCGCTGTGAACCCAATCTTGCATCGGCGGGTAGATGCTGCCCTGGGGCTGGCGATGGTACGGTGAGCGCAAATCGAGGGCCTCCACCTCGATGGCCGAGTCGTTACTGCTTGGGTGGCTGCTCTCAGAGTTGTTAGGGGCCGCGGCCAGTCTGGAGGTGACGGCTCGGGAGGATGAGTGACCCGTGGAGGCACCGACTGGGAGGAAGAGTAAAGAGGGGAGAGACGTAATAGCAAGGCTGGAATGACTTTCGAGAGTACTTACCATTTCCATTTGGCTCTGCTTCGGTGCTGTCGTTGCTGAAGTCCAGTGAGAGCGGCTGGATGTTCTTTTTCGGCTTTCCGGGATTGGGCTTGCGGGCGGCAGGGGCCACGCTCAGCAGGGCCACCTCAATGGAACCGGCACTGCTGTCGTAGGTGAGATTTTTCGGATTGGAGTCGGGGAGGGGCGTAGCGCTGTCTGCAAGGGCAAATGAGAGCAACTCCTGGTCGGTTTGCGTGGCCTTGGGGACGCTCGCATGCGGACAGAAGTTGGGGGGGCGGAGCGAGTAATGTTGATTGCGTTTCAACTTCTCTTGGCAGTCGGTCAGATCGATGCGCAAGGCATCAATGTTGCGCCGCAGCTGCAAGTTCTCCATAGCCTTATCGTCCAGCTTGGTCTGCAGAAAGTCATTGTAGGACTGCAGCTGCAACTTCTCGTCCTCCAGGCGCTCTTTTACGACTTTCAGGTCCTCCTTGTCATTCTGCAGGCGCTCCATCTCGGTGAGGCGCTCGTAGCTGTCGTTGGGTGTCTTGCTATCGGTCATGTTTCCCGCACTGCTGTTATCCAGAGACTCGTCCAGATTGTGCAGCTCGTCCACACTGAAGTGGGCCCCGCGCGCACTGGATGTGGGCGTCAAATACTCCGGCATGGAGCTGTGGCGCTGGAACTTCTTGATCGCATTGCGACGCTGCTGGTCCTCGGCTTGGATGTCCGCTATGTACTTTGCCACTTTGCTAGTGACGTGCTGGTAGCGCCGCTTTGTGTGCGCCGAGTGAATGTCCTGGTAGGAGACAGACTTGCTGTTCCGGGAACTGCCCATCTGAACTTTGGAATTACCGTTCGCTAGCGCTGACTCCGCAAAATCTGCATCAACCACAACGATAAGTGGGAACGGAGCTGAAGGATTAAGCTCGTGATTGCTTACCTTTGTCTACCTCTTCTTCGCCCTGGTCCCGGCCCACCGGGTCACTGACACAGGTCTTGGCGCTCTTGTTGACGGCATCAATGAACGAACTCTCATCAGAGCAGTCGCTGGTTAAAAATGGCGCCGGATTGCGCTCAAATGCCTCTGGCTGATCGTGTTCGTCAAACTGACTCTTGAACTGACGTGGAGCACCTGTGCCCACGCAGTTTAGATGTTCGAACAGCTCGTCAGCGGGAAAGCTTTCGTCTTCCAGACTCATGTTTCACAAAAATGTCGATGTGCGAAGAATTTAACCTTTTAGTAAGACGACATATAGACCAGACACTAATATCGGGACGAGACGATGACTGGAAGAGCACCGTTAGGTACGGAGAACTGCCAACTGATCGAAAACAGAATATACTATGAATAGCTGTGTCTCCGACTCCATCGATATGAGCGAATACAAACGATATTAATCGATGACAGCCAATGTGCTTTACGAGGCGTTTGTCATTTTCTGGCACATTCTTAACAAAAAGGCGCCGGCGTCAGTTTAGTGAAGTTGCTCGAAATTTCCAACAAAATTCCAAATTATCTCTTAAGTAAAGCAATATTTAATAAATTGTGCGATGTCGATGGAACAGGTGAGCAAAATAACTCTTCAGTCGTTAACCGTTTTCCACGTGAAATTAACTCTCATTCGCCACCACCCATAAAAATAGCTAAAATCCGATGCGGCCGAGTTTGCTGCATTGCTGGAACAGGCAAAAAGCGCCCGCGTCAAAGGTGTGCTCACCACAGGAAAGGCAGAGGTGGAGCGCGAGATTGTCAATCTGGAGATGAAGGCACGTCTGGCCGCCGAGCGCCAGGCTTCTGGCTCGAGCGATGCTAAAAGGTACAAAGGCCTCAATTTGAGACAAGCTATTCCTTGTGCTGAATATTCCTCCTCCCACACAGATATCTGCATGAGCTTACTGACTACGGATGGGACCAGAGTGCCAAATTTGTCAAGCTCTTCATCACACTGAATGGCGTGCAGGGCTGCACCGAAGAGGCGGTCACCGTCAACTATACCGAGACTTCGCTGCAGCTCCATGTGCGCGACCTCAGCGGCAAAGACTTTGGTCTGTCGGTGAACAATCTTCTGCACGCGATTGATGTGGATAAAAGCTATCGTAAGATCAAGACCGACATGGTAGCCATCTATCTTAAGAAGGCCGAGGAGGGCGTGAACTGGGATGTGCTCACCTCCATTCAGAAGCGCCTCAAGCAGAAGCAGGATACCGAAATGACCAAGGACACCGAGAATCCAGAGTCAGCGTTGGTCAACATCATGAAGAAGATGTACAACGACGGCGACTCCAAGACGAAGCAGATGATTGCCAAGGCCTGGACCGAGAGTCAGGAGAAGTCGCGCATGGGCAAGGAGTTTGGCGGAGGTGGTCTCGACGCACTCGGCGACCTTTAGGGCCTATAAGGCTGCACCCACGCCTGTCGTCTGTCCATTGCTCCGCTCCACTCTAACTACGAGCCGCAATAAACAACATACAAACACCCAATTATATTTTCGTACTGCTGCAAGGGCGGCTTTTATATGTACATACAATATATACATACCCACATATATTTATATACATATATATATATATATAGAGGTGGGCACTCTCTGCTTTCCGTAGATGCATACATAGTAGTAGGTACATATGTACATACATACACACTTACAGATACTTACTTACAATTTGAGGATAAATAAAGTCCCCGAGTGTGGGAATTAAGTTGTGGATTGAAAGCCTTGGCTTGTGCGTTGCCTGTTGGTTTATATATTTGTATATAGGCGTTTATTAATTAAATTCTTGTGATTAAAATCAATTGTTGCTGCTGTTCGCTAGAGTACAACACACTCTCCGTGGTCTAATCTATTCCATTTGTAATAGTTAGTTTGCTTTCGAAATGAATTGATAATTACACATTAGCTGTATTTAAAATACATTTTATATGTTTCTCGGATATATCATTATCATTATAGTACATATCTGTGTATACTATATATGTACATACATACATATATACATACATATGTGTGTATGTTTGGTTATGTATGCATGTTTTGCCCAAAATAATGTTCGAACGCCCCCGCGATGCATTTGAATTTGAATTTGAATTTGCGTACTGTGGCGGAGCGAGGGGAGGGTCTTCCTCCCGCCCATCGGATTATCTATAATTACTTGCACACCCGGGGATCAATCTGCCAAATATACATGCATATATTTGTTGTGTGTGTGTGTGTGTGTGTGTGTGTGTGTGGAAACAATTAAATTGTTACTATGCTCTTTGTTAAACAATTACTCATTAGTTTGGTAGCGATGCGCTGCTCGCGCGCGCCCTCCTCTAGATCCTATAGTACGAGAATTGGTATCGATCCATTCCAATTCAAACGTAAATTCATTTGGTGTCTGTCTATTACAAAGCTGAAGAACGCAAACCAAACCAAGCGGCGAAAATGAAAAATAACTACGAATCCAATGTTCTGTGTGTTATTAAGGCCGATAATTATCCGAGTACATATGTATGTAAAAACTATACAACATGTGTGTGTGTGTGTGTGTGTGTGGGCAATAGGAAAACACAATTATAATCTACATTGTTAATGCCATAGGTACGATGTACTAAACTAAATGTTAACTTTGCTATTTAAAACAAAAAAAAAAATAATCATAATATGCATGTATACATATATGCATATGCATCTTGTTTGATATAATTCCTGGGGAAGACCTCCAATCCTCATCCATCCATCCATCCGTACCCGCTCACCGATACTCTCCTCTGTCATATTCTGTCATTTTGTGACCGTTGTTTTATATGTTTTGTATCTGTGTATGCGAGTGTGCATGTGCATGTGTGTAGATACAGTGCGTTTCAAATGTGTAGGAATGTACGGGACTGCACCGATCCCCGCTAAAGAAGGATTTTAAGCTGAGAATTGTTGCCGCTTTCCAACGAACTTTGAACGAATCCAGTCCAGTCCAGCACGTGTCTTACAGCCTTGAAACGCACTGTATAGTTATGCCGTGTGTGTGTGGCTGTGTGTGCTGTGGAAGAGTTTTCCGTGTGCATCGTGTGAGCCCAAAGGCCCACAAATTATTTAGGGACTTTATTCCTCCAATGACATCTCCATTTGTATGTGTCTATATGTAGTTATGTATATACATATACTATATATATATGTATATATGTCTGTACATAATATATCTGTATATCTATGCTGTAAAAGTGAAGTTTTCTAAAAGCTTTCGGCTTGCCTCAGCACTCACACAATGATCTATCGATCCGAGGATCCCGGTATGGATCCCCTGCTAGCGTACAAAAATAAATGTTTCTTTCTTTTCTATATAGTATGTAAATGTGTCCCTACGAATCGAATTAGAAGATTGGATTGCCTGCTCCTATGCGGATAGATATCTCCTTTAAAAATTTCTAGAAAACTATGTATGCGTGTGTGGTATGTATATGGTATCTATAGGTACATATACATATATGTAGGTATATGTATGTATGGTATTTGTGTTTGCTGTGTAGATTTGCTGTATTCGATATATTTGTATTATATATATTTGGATTAAAAGTTTCAGCTATTCCTAGACCAAAAAATTCATTTAAAACTTTACTCGAGTCTTGTATTGTTTTGCATTAATTGTTGTACGAATACGATTATACATATACATATATATCTTAGATCCCCCCATTTCAGCACAGACCGAATCCGATTCATACCATCCCAAGAGACAAATCTATGCAATACGGAAAGACAAAGACGAATACATATAGCATAAAGAGAGATACATAGACGGAGCTTACAGGTCTGATGTGTCTGATTAGAGTTTAAGGATTTTACGGGACTATACGTGTGTACATATGTATGTACATATATCGCACGCGTGAGTATCGCACGAAAGTACGTGGAAGAGATTTAGTTTATAAAAAGAAGGGATGGGCTGTGCTGACTTGGGGCTCTGTGGTTCGGTTCGTGACCGGGCGTGGGCATCAATGTGCCCTGTCTGTCAATGAGATAGGTCTGGTTTCGCCGCCCCCCCCTAACTGATTGATTGCGATCCTTATCCTGATCCTAGCTTGAACATTTTAACTATTCTATGGCCTGCAAATTGATTTCACTTTGGGTTAGCATCCCCGAGCGGAACCTCGGGTCCTTCGACCCTTCATTCCATCCCACTTCCACTTCTACCTTCCATCCTCTGCTCTGCACACATACAAACACACACACACACAGCAGCAGCATCAGCAGCAGCATCAGCAGCAGCGACAATTCCAGCTTGGCTCTAACCTAACTTATGGACTAAACCCAACCCCAACCCAACCCAGTCCTTTCTTTACTTTTCTTTCTTTCTTTCTTCCTTCTTCCTTTTCCTTTCCTTTCCATACCATTCCACTATGCTGCTCCGCATCCCATCGTCTGCTTATTGTTTGGGAGGTTTTTAGAAAACGATCGAAGGCAGTCGGACCTTGGCGCTGGAGGCGGTTGAACGGGCACGGACACGGACACGGACACGGGCACGGACGTGAGCGCTGACACGGACGCTTGGCGTCCTCAGGCGCTGCTAGTAAAGCTCTGTATGATGGCGCACCGGAGCCGGGATTTTGGACATACCCCTCTCCCGTCTGGGCGATACCACGGTGGCTGCTCCCGCACCCGCTCCCGCACCCGCACCCGTTGCCGCCCTTGCTCCCGCTGCCGCCACAGTGGTGGAGTGATTGCTGTCGCATGAGCTGGCCGCGGAGCTGCGTTTGGAACGGGCCTTGGCCGGGGGCGAGCAGCTCTCGGAGCGCTCCAGGTTGCCATTGCTGTGAACCCACGCCGTGGTGAAGTCCTCGTACACGGGCGTCTTCTTGCCATTGGAGAGGGACTTGGCAGCTCCCACTGCAGTGGGTGCTGCTACTGTCCCAGAATTTGCCTGATTGCCGGCCGCATATCGGGAGAGAAGTGTCTTCATCTTCTCGAGGATCTGGGCATCGTTCTTGGCACTGCTGGCCGCCTCGAGCAGCTGCTGCGCCAGCGGGGACGAGGCGTGGTTCTTTACCGGGGAAGTGGTCAGGGAGCTGGTGCATCCGCCGCGCACCCTCCTTCCGTTGCTGTCGTACAGGATCTGCGAGGATCGCCCCTTGCCGGTCCGCTCGAACGTAGCGGGGGCCACAAAGCTTTCTGGAGTGCACTGCGGCCGCCGCTTGCAGCTGCTGGGGGCGGCTGCAGTGCGTCCGCTCCATGTGTTCGTCACATCCCGCACCGTCGGCAGCTGCGAGGCCTGCCGAGAGGCGCGCGGCGGAGGCGTGGGCGTGGGCGTCGAGCCCGCTGTGGCCCGGGTGCGCATGGAGCGGTACACGGGCTGCTTGCGACTGAAGCCAGCGGGTGGGCCGCCGCCGACGGAGGAGCGGGTGCTCAGATCCTGGAGGCTGCCGCCAGCGCCGCCGCAGGTGCTGTTGTCGATGCTGCGCCGGCGCTGGGCCAAAGGCGAGCGGGGGATTTTGCTGAGCAGCGCCGGAGACTGTTGCACCGCCAGCTTGGGGGAGGGCGGGCTCTTGGCCATGTCAACGGTAATCTCGTCGTCGGTGATGAATACGCCCGACTGCTCGAACTTGTCCGCCACCTTCGGCAGACTGAGGATGGCCGGCAGCGACTGGGGGCCATCGCACACGGAGTAGTCCTGCTCCACGTCCCCGTCTCCGTCCCCGTCTACGTCCGCATCCGCGTCGAGCTCCTAGCCCATTCATGTCCTCCTCCCCTAGTGTATCCGCAGCCGCCTTCTCCGGCGGCTCATCCGAGGGCGAGATCTGCGAGATCTGCGAGTCGCTGGACGTCTGATCGAGACGCGCTGCGGAAGGGTGGAAGGGGGATTCGGTGCTTAGAGGGGTAAGGTACGGGTAAGGAGCTGAGGCTGTGGACTCACCATTGGTTTCAGCGTCATCCATAGAGGCCTGACTGTGCAGTGACTCGCGCTTCTGGGCACTCGACTGGATCACCCCCAGGCTGCGGTAGCCCTCGTCGCTGATCTCGCTCCCGTTGTCGCTGATGTTCTCGAACTTGCTCGAGCCGCTCTGCTCCGGGGCTCCTCCAGACGAAGGGGCAGTCACCGCCCCCCCGCCGGCCTCCTCCAGGGAGCAGCTGTAGCCGCCAGGCAGCGACTTGGGCCCGCTGCTGTATGAGTCCAGGGAGCTCTGCTTCTTGCGCATGTCGATCAGCCGCCGGGGGCTTGGCGACATGGAGCGCCTGGCCAGCCCAGGCGAGCCCAGCAGCTGCTGCTCTGGAGCGGCGGCCGTGCCGCAGGAGCCAGTGGCTGCCACGATTCCGTTGCTCTGGATACCGTTGAGGAATTTACGCTGAGGTGTCGGACTGCGACTCCGGTACTTGCCCGGATTCGGGGAGAGACTGTTGCCGTTCTGTTGGGCCTGGCCCACTTGTGCAGCTCCTCCTCCCACTCCTCCTGCTGCTGTTGCTGCTGTGGTTGCTCCTCCAGCTCCTCCCCCGTTGCAGTTTGGACTGTTGAACACGCGTCGCGCAGCGGGCGGTGAACTGGGTGGAGGGAGTGCAGCGAAATGGAGTAAATAATCGTATCATTGGAGGCTGCAAAGTTCGAACCACTCACCGCTCGAATATCACCTGAGCCTTGTGCAGCTCGATGCCGTTGCTCGGATTGTGGTTGGGCGACTGTCGGGGGATGAGGCGGGCGGCCACCGAGCTGCGGTGCTGGGCCCTGCACCGGCAGGGGTCGTGCTTGTCCAGGTAGTGGGACAGGGTGTCCCATCCGCCTCCCACGCGCACCATCACATGGGAGCGCAGTATCTGAAAGTGGCCCCAGAACATAAGCGACTCCCCTCCTGCACTGCCCGCATCTCTGCCAGCCACGAATACTCACCCGCACGAAGATGAGGACTTTGGTGTCGCCGATGCGATACTTGCCCTCGGACACGCGGACCATGGGAAACTGTGAGGGGCATGTGCACTTCTCCACAAGATCTCTTACCTGCAAACGAATCAAATACAAGCATTAGTATATGGGCTGAACAGGTACAGGGACAGGGAAAAGATCTACGAGCAAAGGGTACTTTGTGCTATGAACCCTTCGATGGGCGAAAGCTGTATGCGATACTTATCGCTGTACATGACATCCTCAATCGATTACTGATTCGATTCTTCACGTATCGATATGCCAAATATCGTAGCTTATCGTAGCCACGATAACATAACTTGCTCTGGGCTCTGGCCCTGACCATAATTCGACGAGAATTCGCCCCCCAGGCCCATCGAATACTGTAGCCGTAATGTTCTGGGTGGCAGGCAGCACTGTACCGTAAATCGAGTCTGTCAGTATGTTCACTGCCCTGCCACCCGCCACCCACCACCCACCACCCTACTGCCGCCCGGCAACCTCCTCCTGGGCTGACGCTGACCCTCGGCATTGCATAAGCCTGACCCCAGTAGTCGGACTGACTGCCTGACCGACTACTGCAGTTGGAGCTGATGCTGATACTGAGGCTGAGGCTGAAGCTTAAGCTGATGCTGATCCAGCGACGAGCGACGAGCGACGAGCGATGACGATCATCGGGGTCACCAAATAGTTTTTCACTGCATAAATTCACGCGCTGCCATTGTCCAACAAACAAATGATCCGCGGAGCGGTCGGCAGAGGGGCTACCCTTGCCCTAGGGAGAGGCAAGCAGTCCATGGGAGCCAGACTGTGCCCCAGCCTGGGCTTTGAACAACAGCAACAGCAGCAGCAGCAGCATCAGCCTGAGCTCTGTCCGTCCCAGCTGGCGGCAGCGGACAAACAACAAATGACGACTTGGCCCGACTCCGACTTCGACTCTGGGCTCTGAGGTCTGGAGCCTGGATCCAGCTCTTTCGCTGAGCCCATTGCTACTGTAGTTTGTTGCAAGACCAGACAGATGGATGGGCGGCATAGAGGACAGAGCACGGAAGAGGATGGAGAGGGAGGGATGGGAGAGCAACGCATTTGCACCTTTGAACTTTTGCAACTCCTTCGGCAGCTCTGAATGCGTGCTTAGGTGGAGCTGCTGACAATAAATCTTTGTGGCTGTGGGGGAGAGCGGAAGCCTGGGGAGGGAAGGAGGGAATCTCGCATCTCTGCCAGAGATCGAGGATCGGCGTGACTCTGACGCATACGAGATTAGCTGGCCATGGCGATGGGGCGATGTGATCCTGGCCTAACCATAAATCGCATGCCACCAACATTCACGGCAGCAACTGACTGCCGCAGACAGCGGACAGCGGACAACAGGCCGGGGACAGACAGCGATGCGGACGTGCCAAAGCCCCAGTCTGAGTCCCCAGCGTCGAGTCGACAAATGATCGTGGCTGGTTTGCTTTTTCTCCCTCTTTCTTTTCCTTTTGCTCAGTTGTGGCTGCTGCTGTTGCTGCTGTTGCTGCTGCTGCTGTTGGTGGCACATCATTTGATTTTCGACAAGTTGTTGAGGGTATTTGCTGATTTGGCTGCTGTGGCTACCTCCGATAGCAGCGGCTGTGGCTGCTGCACAAATAGATTGGCTGACTCCACTCTGCCATGATCGAGTCGAGAGGATGGAGGATGGTGGATCGCCCGGGCAGCTTGTGGCGCTGCTTCATGTCCATGTCCACGCCAAGACCATCTATCCATCCCCCAGCTGTCGATCGTTGCTAGATGTTGTTCATGCTGCTGTTGCTGCTGCTGTTGCTGGCGGCGTGAGGAAATGTTTGCATGGCTTTCATTAGTTTGGACGTCGGTGATTTCCATTGCGCCAGTCCTGCATCTTTCCACCTATGTATATCCCCCATCCATCCTCATCCTTTGTTGCTACGGCGGAGGCTGCCGCTGCCGCCGCTGCTGCTGCTGCTGCTGTCGTCACACTTGCAATTACATTGACAATCGCAATTGTTGTAATTGTTGTTGGCACATCGTCAGCGACGACGCCATTGGGGAACATCTTGTCAAATTAATTTGACATCTCAACATGGCAGACGGACTGCCGCCGCGCCGCACTGTTTGTTGGATTGTTGGATTGCTGGAGATGGGACATTGTCTGTCTGCCCCCCCCCCTAAATTGGCATCCCATCCATCCCCTACAATCTGCCCGGCAGACACCCAACGAAAATCCCACTGCAGATTACCTTAGATTGGTTTTCGGTTGGCTTTTGTTTAGCTGCTTTTGGGCCAAGTTCCTAACTGGAAACTTAGCCATGGCTAAAAATGGACCTGAGAAAAGTTGCAACAACAACAACAACAACAACGGTCGATACGGTCGCAAGGCAAAACAATCGTGAGTTGGGCCATGAACAAAATGTAAATATGTACACACATACATACATACACACACATACATACACACACACACATACATATGTATGTACATGTGTGTATGTATGTGTATTTGTACATGCTAAAAGAGAAAACCCCAAAGAAGTGGACACTGGCACTGGCACTGGAACAGGAACTGTTACTGGGACTGGGACTGGGACACAAGACCCATGGATAGCCCCGCCACAGAAAACCTAAAGGCAAACCAAACGGGAAACCAGGGAAGAGGCGTCTCGTAGCTCTACACCCTAATGTAGGGGGGTCTCCGGAGAGGAGGGGTCTGTGCGAAGAGCAATTCCGTTCACACTGAAGGGACTTGCTGCACATTTGGGCACAGATTGTCGCAAGAGTAGGTACGTCGCACTCACCATCTCGTCGAGACTCTTCAGATCGTTGGTGATTATCTGGGGCTGGGGACCGTACATCAGCATGGGATTCTCATCGGCATCGTCTTCGTTCTCCGAGTCGTCGCTGTCGTCGTACAGATCCGTCTCCGAGCCCACAGTCGTGGTCGTTACTGTCGTGGATGTGGCCGTGCTGCTCAGTGTCGAGCTGGAGGCGACTGCCTCCGTCTGTGTGCCGCTGTCCGAGGAGTTGGCGACGCCACTGGCCTTGATGTCGGCGGCGATCTCCCTATCGATTTGTCGCTCCATCTGCACCAGCATGGGGGCCAGCATTCCTGTTCAAAGAGAGAGAGAGACGGAGAGAATAAAACATCCATTGGGGGACGATCCTAGATCCCCAGACTACGTACCAAACTTGGCCCCGCGTCGGGCCACCTCCAGGAGGCAGAGGATCACGTGCTTCTCATTCTTGCGCATGATCAGATCGTCCGTTTCGAACAGCAGGCACTCGATGATCTTGAGGCTCTTTCTGCAGGGATTATCGATTTGAGAATTTGAAGTGAGTATCGATTGCAGCTACAGATGCACTCACCTGCACCAAGTTATGAAGTTGGAGACATTGTCGCGGGCAAAGAAGGTGCCGCTCTTGGCCGTCAGCAGGTAGTGGATGTTGCCCAGGGCCAGGATCGGTCCGGCCAGGCCGGATGTCATCGAGCGGGTCATCGATTTGTTGCGCGCCTGTCGCCGGGCCAGATAGTCCTCTGCCGCCTGCCGCACATAGTTCGCGTGCTGCAACAACGAGGAGCACAAAATACCCAATGAGCACAGACACAGCAGAATTTCAGCAAGATAAAAATACAAAACTGCAAAATGGTTATATTTAAGCTTCCCAAGAATATAGCACGACATTTTTGGGCAGCCCCCCAAGGCCCACAGCCCCCATCGGTCGTTGAACGATCAACGTTGCGACGATATTTCGATAGGTTTTTTGTGTTGTTTTCTCTGCTCTTTTTGTCGAACGGTCGAAATTCAGGACAGAGGGCGACTAGAGCCGGGCGAGACTGAATTTTTTGGGTTCATTCACTTGCGTGTATGTACAGTACACCCTCCAGAGGGTGTACTTGCACATCCTCCGTCCAGTATTGACGCGAATACAGAATATTCGGCCATCACAAGGGCGGAAAGAGGTGAGAGAGGAGGTGTCCCTACTTTAATTCTGAAAAGTTCACCCCCTCCCAAACCCCTTTCGTGCCAAACTGCCACAACAATTTGCCATTGGCACATTTGACGTTTGAGGTTATATCATCCGCAATCCGAGATCCGAGATCCCCACAGCCCGAATCCCATATTCGAGGCGATACGATGCGCTGCAGTGCACTGCGCTGGCTGCTGCTGCTGCTGCCAGCACTGGCGGCAATCGTGTCTCGACGTGTCATGCATTTCCATTTCCATTTGCATTTGCATCATTCCATATTCATTTATGCACATTTTTTTGTAATAATTTAATATTTAAACAATATTATTATTTCTGCTTCTCCTTCCCCTCCCCCTCCCACTCCCCTTCACGCTTCTTCTTTTATGGATATCTGACAAATGCTTTATTTGGTGTTTATTGTTTCACCTTTCCATAATACCCTAGCCCCAAAAAAGGGCATTCCCAGCAGCAGCAGCAGCAACAGCATCAGCAACCACATCCATGACGCTGCTCTTCTGCTGACGTCGCTGCTGTTGCGGAATGGGGAGTAGGGTGGTGCAGGGGCGTGACAGAGGTAACAGTCCAATTGTAAATATGCACATCAGTTCTGGCCACAGCAAGGGAACAAGGGGAACTAAATATTTCAGTAGATTTGTCCTTTTCTGGGTGGCCCTACGTTAGGGTATCGCTGCGTCGATCTTCTCACCCGATGGTTCCCCCACTACATCATCGTCATTCATCTTCGGCTCTTATCATCTTGCAAGGTAAGCAGCGACGGCGACGGCGACGGCAACTGGGACAGCGACGCCCACGATACATTTTGGCTACCCAGAGGCGTCAAATGCATCCCCCCCTCCCCCACCCCACCCATCATCATCTTCTGCTTCTGCGCTGCCCACGAACAGCATTATGATACCCTTGCCTCGCGGAGGGTATTATGGGTGCAACGCGAAGAAGGAAGCAAGCGTATTCGATTCAGCTCATTTGATTAGTTGCTTGCTCTTTCTGATTTCTGATGTTTCCGCTACCCCCGTGTAGAAGTGGCCAGCGCAACGACAAACGCCTAACCGATGTACATATGTACATACATATGTATGTACCTGCAAGGGTATCAAACCAAAGGCTTTGGGCACTCGAGCAAGTCTTCCTTCTATGCTAAACCTTTCGTTTCCCTTTGGTCGCTGCCAGCAGCAGCAGCAGCAGCAGCGCAGAGCATCGTCGCTTCGCTTAGAACCGAAGCCTCGCCTGCCTGGCTGCCTCGCTTGGTGTGTTTCTGTGTTCGTGTTCGTGTGACTGCGACTGTGGGTTCGTGTGAGAGAGGGGAGCACTCTGAAATGTTTGTGCTGTGTCTTCTTCTGAATAATGCATAGACAGCGGCAGCGGCATAGACAGACAGACGCACGGACGGACGCAAATGCATATTTGATAATCCCCCCACAGCAGCGGCAGCGTCACCTTTTCACTTTCGAAATTCGACTGATGCTGCAGGGAGGATGGAGATGGAGAGTGCAAGTGGATGGAAGAGGGATGGGGCGGTGCAAATTGGTATTATGACATCAAAACTTTCTTGCATCAACAGTGCGGCACGTGCCAGTGGATTTTTATGGGCGATAATGGTAGTGTATCGATGGAGGAGCGATATTTTGCCAGCAAATAAATGCCAAAGAACTTAAAGCTCTCCATATCCCAGTCCCCGGTACACAGTCCCCAATACGCATCCGTATGCCCATTCGCATCCGCATCCGCATCCGCATCTTCAGAGTCAAGTGTTGAAGCAATTAACGTGACTTTAGCCTCGCTCTTGCTCTTTCTCGGCCCCTTCTCCTTCTCCTTTTCCTTCTCCTGATCCGTTTGCATCTCGCCTCCTCCTATTAGTATTCCTTCTTCTTTCGCGCTGCTCGAGAGCGAGGGCCAGAGAGAGACGAAAGTGGGTCGACCTGTGGGCCACCGCCACTCAATCTGGCCACGCCCCCCCACGTCGCGTGTACGTGACGTTGATGACGTTGATGCGATGTATGATGTACATACATGTATGTATGATGGGTGGGCAGATGGCAGAGGAAGAAGACGCCCAAGGAAAGAAGTCTATGAGAGGGCGGAGGCGGAGGTGTGTGCTAGGGAGGAGAGGCTTGCAGGTGCAGGTACTCTGCTCTCTGCATGCGTTACGTTTTTGCCGTCACGTAATTAGCTTACATTTCCGACCCCTCCCCTCTTGCAGTTTTCTCCGCCCACCAGCCAGCCCACCAGCCCCGCCTGACCTGCTACAAAATGTGTGTCAATATGGCGTTAATAACATTACATGACTGCTAAAAGCAATTGCAAAAAAAAGCTCTGTCGCATTATAACCGTAACGGCTGAGCGGTAAGCACGGGCGCTGTGGAGGCGCCGACAGAGGCAGCAGCAGCAGCAGCGACAGCGACGCAGTCAGTGCAAAGCTATTTTTTTGCTTCCGCAAAAGGCAAATTAAATATAAAAAAAAATTAAAGCGCGCCGAAAAAAACACAAATAAATAAAATGACATTGCGAAAATAAAACTTGCACAAAAAATTTTTCGATAAAGACGCTGCAACTTTGTATACCCTTCCAGATCTGTATACACACATATGTACATATGTATATGTACATGTATGTACATATGTATATACCACATATTTAATCATTTGATTTTTAACAAATTTGGACACGTATTTGTATGTTTTGTCTTCCTCGTCTATTGGCGGTGGGATGGTAATACGGAGATGTAACGGAGCAACACTGATCAACAACAATACATGTAGTTATAGTTATAGTATTAGTATGTACTCCTTTGTGGGGATGGATCTGTTCTTCCTGTTCTGCTTTGCACTCATCTACTCACAATTATTAATACTCTCTGCAAGGGTATACAAAAGGCCAAATTGAAATAAATAAATAACGCACAATAGTTGATTTGTGCAATTACATAGAACACACACACACACAGGCACACAGACATTGTGCTGATGGTCTGCTAAGCGGATTTCAAACTGTTTTCGCATTGTCGATGATTGCCGTCATCGATTGGTCCCACAAAGCAACTCCGCTTTTCGCTTCCCGCTTTAAGCAGCTCTTAGCAGCTCTCTGCTCCGCACTCATCTAAGTTCGGTTCGTTTCAACTGAGTTCATCGCCACTTGGTGCCCCACGCCCCACTCCTACTCCTACTCCGAATCCGACTCCGACTCCGTGTCCCCACTCCGCTCAGAGCTCAATCAAAATCAGCAACTGTCCACGGCCCATTCAAAATCATATTTCAAACGTTTCTTTTGTGTCTTTTGTGTCTGTTGTCTCTCTGGGGTTCAAGGTTCTCAGCGGCGACGACGACGACTTCCTCTACCCACATCATACATGCATACACACTTACATATGTACATACATATGTACATATGTATATGGCTCGTATATGGCTTTGGCAATGATAGATCGATCAATGTATTCGCTTGCAAATGATTTCTGCACAACCGAACAACAGCCGAAAAAGCCGCAACAGGCGAATCAACAACAGCAACCACAATGATCGATCCATCGATCTGAGAGCGACAATCGCTCACCTGCTCGGAGGTCTTTTGATCTTGGCCTGGCGACGATTAACGGTATTTCCATAATGCCCATAGAAGGCTTTCTGTTTTTTTTTGTTTAGTCTGTCTGTTGTTTGCTGTTTGCTTCTTGCTGTTCTCTACGAGTATTTCTAGATTGAACAAAAGTTTTTTGCTCCGTCGCCATGCCATCTCTTTCGGTGTGTGGGAAACCGCCGCGACCATGGGGCCATCGGCGAGGAGATACGATCCGATCCGATCCGATCAGCAGCATCGATAATTCTCGATGAGATCACTCAGAATGCGATTACCGATGACGATTGCAGGGAAAAAGCAGAAACAGAAACGGAAACTTCCGCTTGGTTCCGAACGAATGCAAAAGGTAATAATGCTCATGGCATGGGCCCAAAGCTCATTAGCCCCACCCGCTTCCCCACCATACGGATGTATTATTTGATATAACCTTGCGGGGGTATTATAATATTACCCACTTAATAGGGTAATGTACATATGTATGTATGTATATACCGACATATGTTCTTGACCAGCATCAATCGGTGAGCTATGGTTACTTGATGTCTTGGCCAATTTTGAACACAATATTCTGAGTATTATTCCGATGAGCTGCAATTGCAGGATCCCTCCACCATTCGAAATGAGCAGCTCTCAGGAAACAGCCCAAAACTTGAATGGGTAAACATAAATCTGCTTCCACATAGGTTTGTTAGTGTGTCACACCCTTTGGCACACTTAACCCCCCACAGGGCTAATGAGGCGTTAAGGTTTGGCTGTAATAATAACCAGAGCAGAAGTATTTCTATAGTTAGGCGGCTATTTGGTTATAGCCAAAGCTGGCAAAAGATTCGATGCCAAAAACCAAAAGCTGAACCGAACCGAACTGAACTGGTTTTGGTGTTGTTGTTGCTGTTGTTGTTGTCGCTGGGGCCAAAGCCAAAACGAATTTTGAATGTGGGTGAAGTTGTTAAAAATGTGGCAAACGCAATCGAGGTTAGCCGGAGACAGAGAGACAGAACCAGAGACA